CAGTCAAGGGCATGGACCTTGGTTCCCGGCACATTCCCAGTAGGGGGTGTGCAGGAGGCAGCTGGTCGATGTTTCTCTCTCATCGACGTTTCTAGCTCTCTATCCCTCTCCCTTCCTCCATGTAAAAATTAATAAAATACATATTTAAAAAAAAACAAAGAACAAAAAAAACCCCTGGGGTCTAACAGCTGAAAGTTACCCAGGAGCCTCCTGGAGAGCGACGGGGAGGAGGCAGGTGGCCAGCAATAATGGCGGCAGGACCTCAGGCCCAGACTGGATGCGTGCTAGGCTCCATGCCCGTCTCTGGCCGCCTCCATCCCGGCTTCAGATTTCTCTTCCATAAAACAGAGCCGACACGGGGTGACAGGGAGTCGGGGTGAAACACTTTGTAAGCGAATCCCAGCACCAGAGAGCCCGCCGCTGATGCAGCCCAGCAGAGTCATCTTCCCAAACCACAGACACGCCCTCTCCCTTTCCGGTTCAAGCTCCTCCGTGAGTCTGCTTTTTTAGACTTGCCGTCAGACTCTGATCCTGCCGTCCTTGCTTGCCCCACACTGAGCACCCCCTTACCCACGGCTTTGTGCCTGCTGCTCCCTGCCTGCAATGCCCTTCCCGCCTCGTCAGCCTGGTGGACTCCTACTCATCCTTCAACACCCCACTCCCGGGATCCCCTCACCTGGGGCCGCTCCCCTTCCCCATGGGCGTGGCCAGAGTGTCTACCCGCTTCCTGGTGCTGCCGCGACGCCCCCCCCGTGCCCCCCCCCCCGGCTGTGGGCTCCCTGTGAGAAAGAAAGGACAATGGTGCCACTCCTGCCCCCACGCTCAGCACCAGGGAATGATGTTCAGCTGTGCAGGGAGAATGAGCGGAGGGGAGAGGGAACCTGGCCATAAGAAGCATGGTCAGCCCTGGCTGGTGTGGCTCCGTGGATAGAGTGTCAGCCTGCAGACTAAAGGGTTCCGGGTTCGATTCTGATCAAGGGCATGTACCTCACTGGCAGGCTCCTCCCCGTGCAAGAGGCAACCCATCAAATCAACTCTCTCACATCTGTTTCTCTCTGTCTTTCCCTCTCTCTTCCACTCTCTCTATGGGCCCTAACTGGTGTGGCTCAGTGGATAGAGCGTTGGCCTGCAGACTGAAGGGTCCCGGGTTCAATTCCAGTCAAGGGCATGTATGTACCTTGGTTGCATCCACAGTGGGGTGGGGGCAGGAGGCAGCTGATCGATGTTTCTCTCTCATCGATGTTTCTAACTCTCTATCCCTCTCCCTTCCTCTCTGTAAAAAAATCAATAAAGTTTGTTTTTTTGTTTTGTTTTTTATTTTTTAAATATATTTTATTGATTTTTTTACAGAGAGGAAGGGAGAGAGATAGAGAACTAGAAACGTCAATGAGAGAGAAACATCGACCAGCTGCCTCTTGCACACCCCCCACCGGGGATGTGCCCGCAACCAACGGACCGGAATCGAACCTGGGACCCTCAGTCCGCAGACCGATGCTCTACCGCTGAGCCAGACCGGTTTCGGCTTTGTTTTGTTTTTTAAAAAGAAGTGTGGCCAGAGGGCCGCCTAGAAGATGGGCAGGCAGCGAGTGGCCCAAGGCGCTGGCCACACTGAGGGGACCTTGCGAGGTTGAGGGAAGGTTTTGCGTCGGTGCTGCTGGCCTTGTGGGCTTCGGTCTGTTCCGGGAGAGAACGTCCCGTGCCGGGACCTGAAATCCCACGGGGTCTCTGTGCTGCGGCCCGAGCAGCCTGACCAGGGACACCCCCTCCGCCCAGCAGTGTGGCCACTGGGCCGGACTCTCCGGGTGAGAGCGGGGCCTCGTCCCATAGCGGGGCCTGTCACTCTCCACACAGAGAGGCAGAGCGTGAGCCACATGCATCTTTGCTTCTTTTTCTTTTTATATATATTTTTTAAAAATATATTTTATTGATTTTGTACAGAGAGAAGGGGAGAGAGATAGAGTTAGAATCATCGATGAAAGAGAATCATCCATCAGCTGCCTCTTGCACGCCCCCCACTGGGGATGCACCCGCAACCAAGGAACATGCCCTTGACCGGAATTGAACCAGGGACCCTTCAGTCCTCAGGCCTACGCTCTATCCACTGGGCCAAACCCATTTCAGCATTTGCTTCTTTTTTCTATGCTCTGTTTCCCAGGAGTCGTGCCACCAGGGGACCGGCGGGCAGCGGCACCTCGTCCCAGGCTACGCCCCCCCCAAACCTGTCTCCAACCTGTAACTGCTTCCTGAGTCCTTGCACCCCAGCTGGCTCCCGTCTGCCTGTGACCTCCTCTCTAAGAGGCCGAGGCAGTGTTCCGAGCAGCCGCTCAGACCCCGATCAGATCCTCTCGTCCAGGGTCCTTTCACTTTGCACGTTCAATTAACTTCCTCTGTGCCAGCGTTCTTGGCTCTGAATTCTTTCTTTGCTGAAGTCAAGAGCCAAAGCCGGCCTTGCCAGTAACACGGGTAGGTTGCCGAGAACCAATTGCCACAGGTCATCACTGCAGGAGTTTTACCAAATGGTTGTGAAGCTCGGGGAGTCAACAGGGTGGAGTCACATGTATTATAGTTCACCTGATGGAACGGCTAACGGGCACTTCCCCCAAACCTGAATAGGACTCTTAGCTGCCAGGCAGCTCAGGGCCTTTTACGGCCTCCTTTTGGCCAAACACCTGAACAGCTGCAGGCTGTCCCCCAAACGGACAATCTCTGTAAACCCTTTGGCGTGTCTGTCTCCACCTCGCCTTGGGACAAATTGTGTTTAATAAAAGCAGGGTCCTTGGTCAAGGAGGAGAGCCTTCTAGCTCCCTCAGCTGAAGCTCCTCACCCCCAATGCCTCTCAAAACTACCTTTCGCCCACGGACTCCTTCTTAATCACCTACACGCAGCCCTTTCTCCCGAACGCTGAGCCCTCTGAGAGTCTGGGACGAGCACCCCAGCAGGAGGTGATTCAGCACCGGCTTACCGTTCCACGGTGTAATTAATGCTCACTGAAGAGGAAGACTGTATGGTCTGTAATCAAATGCTCATCAATACACTCTCCTTGACGGAGATCTTTCTGGCCCCTCATCCTTCCAGAACATTCCATTGTCTCCTGGGACCCTGTCCGGGTGGCTCACCTTAGCGATGGGGCTCTCCAGCTCGCACATCTGTGACCCAAGGAAGAGAGGTGTCCCCGGGCCGGCAAAGTCAGCGGTTGAACGTCGACCTATGAGCCCAGAGGTCACGTTCAGTTCCGGGTCAGGGCACATTTTACAGAAAGAAGAGTGGCGTTGACTCTGGCCTTCCCAGAGCCGTGCTGAGAGCCGGCAGCCTGCTCTCGAGGCCACTCAGGTTTTATAAGACGAGGTCACGGGCTCTGGGAGCAGCCAACGGTGAGGCAGACACCCCTCACACGGGCACCGGCTGACTCTGCCAATTAGGGGCATTTTATTTTATTTATTATTTTTAAAAATATATATTTTTCATTGATTTCAGAGAGGAAGGGAGAGAGAAACGTCAGTGATGAGAGAGAATCATTGATTGGCTGCACGCCCCTTACTGGGGATGTGCCTGCAGCCCGGGCCTGTGCCCTTGACTGGAATCGAACCTGGGCTGACACTCTACCCGTGGAGCCAAACCAGCCAGGGCAATTGGGTGTATTTTATTTTTTAAATATACTTTATTTATTTATTTATTTATTTATTTATTTAGTTAGTTAGTTAGTTAGTTATTTCAGAGAGGAAGGGAGAGGGATAGAGAGTCAGAAACATTTATGAGAGAGAAACATCGACCAGCTGCCTCCTGCACACCCCCTACTGGGGATGTGCCCGCAACCAAAGTACATGCCCCTGACCGGAATCGAACTTGGGACCCCTCAGTCCGCAGGTCAACGCTCTGTACACTGAGCCCAACCAGCGAATTAGGTGCATTTTAAATCCGTGTCAGGAATGGCATTTCAAGGTCACTGCCATCCTTGGCAAAAGCCTGGCCGAGAGAACCAGTCTTGATGAGAAGGACCCGCAGGGGGTGCAGTCATGTCCCTCATTGGTGAGCGTGCAATGCGCTTGGGAGTTTTGTTTAAAAAAAAGGTTCTGGGTCAGTGTGTGAATATATACAGAAAATGTGTATATATATATATATATATATATATATATATATATATATATATATATATATATGGCTGAATTCTGTTCCATATTATTACCATAATTGACTTCAAAAATGCTCACCTCACACTAATCTTATTTCACCTACATCTCCACCCTCTCACACACAAACCCTCAGCATTTTAAGGGAAATTCCAGACGCCGTATTTAACCTATCAACATTTCAGGATGGATGCCTGAAAGATAAGGACTGAACACATACCACAAGCATAAGCTTTGTTTTCCTCTTAAAGTTCCTTCTACGCATCCTGTTCTCCTTCAGCTGTGGACGGGGGAGGCGGCTCCGGGGCCGGGAGTGACTTCCCGCGGGAAAGTGAGTCCGCAGCCTGCCGGCCCGCCCGGGGCGGGGCTGATCATTGCGGCCGGGGCGGGGCCTGGGCGGGGCGACCGGAGCGGGTGGAAGCGGATTGGACCATTCGGACGTGAGCGGGGCGTCCCTGCCCAATTGGGTGTCCTGGTGGGCGTGGCCAGGAAGGGAGGGGCGGGTCGGTGGGAGGTGTTGACTAGCTGGGCGGGGTGATCCCGGCGGGAGCGCTGACCCGGCAGGCGGGGCGGACGGGGACGGGGAGGGATCGGGCTCCGGCTGGGCGGGCCCGGGCCGGGCGGACCGGGGCGGGGCGGACCGGGGCGGGGCGGACCCGGCGGGGCGGACCCGGCGGGGCGGACCGGGGCCGGGAGGGATCGGGCTCCGGCGGGGCGGGCCCGGGCGGGGCCGGGGCTCGGGCGGGGCGGGGCGGGCCGGGCGCCGCGGAGGCCGGGGCCGGGAAGGCGGAAGGACCGGCCAGCCGGGCATCCGAGCGCCGAGCGGCCCCGCACTCAGCGGCCGGCGCGGAGCCGCGGGACGGGGGCGGCGCCATGCGCGCGGCGCTGCTGGGGCTGTGCAACTGGAGCACGCTGGCCGTGTGCGCGGCGCTCAAGCTGCCGCAGGTCTCGGCGCTGCTGGCGGCGCGCAGCGCGCGGGGCCTCAGCCTGCCGAGCCTGCTGCTGGAGCTGGCGGGGTGAGGCCGCCCTGCCTGGGCCCGGGGGCGGGGGGGGGCCGGGAGCCCGGGAGGAGGCCCGGGTTCCGGGGGGGGGGCCCGGGAGGGGCGGGGAGGGGGGCCGGGAGCCCGGGAGGAGGCCCGGGTTCCGGGGAGGGGGCCCGGGAGCCGGGGAGGAGCCGGGGAGGGGGCCCGGGAGCCCGGGAGGGGCGGGGAGGGGGGCCCGGGAGCCGGTGGGGGGCCCGGGACCCCGCGCCCCCTGGCGGGGGCGACGCGGGCTGGATGCCCGGAGGGACCGCTCCCTGCCCAGGCGGCCACGCCCTGTTTTGTCCGCACGACCAGCCGCCCAGCGCCCGAAAGGGCCAGGTGACGTCACCTGACCACGCCCCGCCCCGCCCACCCGGGTCCTCCTTCTCCTCCTCCTCCTCCTCCTTCTCCTCCTCCTCCTCCTCCTTCTCTTCCTCCTCCTCCTCCCCCTCCTCCTCCTCCTCCTCCTCCTCCTTCTCCTTCTCCTTCTCCTCCTCCTCCTCCTCCTCCCCCTCCTCCTCCTCCTCCTCCTCCTCCTCACCCCGGCGGCAGCCATGGCCTCAGCCATGGTGCTCCGAGTGCGGCCCCTCCCCATCGGGGCGGCCAGTTCAGGGTGTCTCTGCTCCCCAGGTTCCTGGTGTTCCTCCGGTACCAGGTGTACTACGAGTACCCGCTGCTCACCTACCTGGAGTACCCCATCCTCATCGCACAAGGTAGGGAGCCCACCTCTCCCCTTCCTCCCCCCTGCCCGTCCCGCCCTGGGCCCCTCCTCTCACAGCCTCTCCCCTTCCTCCCCCCCCCCCCGCCCTGGGCCCCTCCTCTCACAGCCTCTCCCCCCCCCCCCCCGCCCTGGGCCCCTCCTCTCACAGCCTCTCCCCCCCCACCCCGCCCTGGGCCCCCTCCTCTCACAGCCTCCCCCCCCCCCCCCGCCCTGGGCCCCCTCCTCTCACAGCCTCTCCCCCCCCACCCCGCCCTGGGCCCCTCCTCTCACAGCCTCCCCCCCCCCCCCCGCCCTGGGCCCCCTCCTCTCACAGCCTCTCCCCCCGCCCCCCCCCGCCCTGGCCCCCTCCTCTCACAGCCTCTCCCCCCCCCCCCGTCCTGGCCCCCTCCTCTCACAGCTTCTCCCCCCGCAGACGTCATCCTGCTGCTCTGCGTGTTCCGCTTCAGCGGGAACGTGTACCGGGCGGCGCCCTACCTGGCCCTGTATCCTTCTGCAGGGGAGTGGGGGGGATGAGTCTAATCAGCAGGCCGTCACCCCTCACCCCTTTCCAGTTGCACCGACAAGGATGCCCACGGCAGACCCCGTGGAGCCCGTGTCTCCTGCTGGCCGCCGGCCCTGTGGGCGGTGGGTGGGGGCTCCCCGCGGGCCGCTGAGCAGAAGCCCCCCCCCCAGGCCTGCCTTTCCTTTTGGGGCGATGGCTTTCTTCCCCACAAACGTCCCTGGGATCTGACATTAACAGCGCTGACGCCCCGGTCACCTGTCCGGTCACCTGTCTGCGGCCGGTGGGCTCCTGGCAGCCTGTTCACGGCCAAGGTCAGGCCCCTCGTGCAGACGTCAGGGGCTCCGAGAGACACACAGACCCGTCCGTCTGCTGGGAGCCGGCCTGGCGCTCAGCTCTTAGTGGAAACTCGGGCTCCTGGTGACTCCACGCCTCCAAGGGCCAGGCCAGCCTCCGGTTGGCAGTGGTTAAACCGGCCTCACCTGGCACTTGTGGCCGGTCTTCCCCAGAGAAGAAGGGGGAGGTCTGCCGGCCTGTGTGCCCAGTGCCTTGTGCCCGCCCCCCCTGCCCCCCCGGGCCCGGCCCCCTCTGAGCTGCCGCCGCCTGGGAGGCGGCTCCTGGTGCCTCTCCAGGGTCTGAGGGGCCCGGCACAGGCCCCAGGCTGTTCCCGGAAGCCCCTCTGTGGAGTGGAGCGGGGTGCACAGTGGTCTCAGGGCCTGGCCACTTGCTCCACGTCCGCAGCTGTGCTGTCCGTCCCCCGGCATCCTCGCTCCTCCTGCCGGCCAGCTCTGCCGCCCGCTGCTGGACCCCCTTTCACACAGGGGTCCGTGAAGAGGGGGCGGCGGAGAGTTTCAGGTGACACGGTTTTGCAGGACGTGCCTGCTCTATCAGTTGGCCCCTGGTAGGAGCTGAGCTCGGGCCATCACAGGGGCGATGTCTGCGGGGTGGGGAGGAAGCCGGGAGCTAAGATCCATCCCCGGGGGCCTCGCCTGCAGCAGGCGAGCGCAGGGGACAGCGCTGTGCCCTCTCCATCGGCTGCTCCTGTGCTCGGGCTCCGGCTCCCGGCTCCTGGCCCAGCACGGGGCTGCCTTGTCTTCCCAAGCCTGCGGGTTCTCTCTGGGGTCGGGGTGGGTGTCCACGGCACCGGCGAGGCTGCTGGAGCCGCCAGCACGGCCACTTCCTTAACTCGACGAGGTTCGTGGCGTCCTGGTTCCTCCTCTCCCTGCGGAAGTGGATCATGGACCTGGCCATGGTGAGTGCGCCCCGGGCAGCCGGCCCGAGAGACTGATGGACCAAAGGTTCCGCCTGCACCCAGGGGGTGGGAAACCAGGGCAGGGCTCGCCCCTCAGGGAGCACTATTCTCTCTGCAAGGATGGGGAGCACTTACTTCCCTTTGGCGCCCGGAGAACCAGGCTGGGGCCCAGCAGAAGCTAGAGCTTCGGTCCCGTTAGTCCTGACAGAATGGCCACTTGCCATTCTTTTGTCCTGAAGGAGGGTACTGCGCCTGTCCTGGCACTTCTTCCTTCCCGGTGAAGGCCCCAATGCGCACGCTGTGAGAACAGGGTGCGGGGTGGGGGGAATTAGGGGGCATCTGACCACAGGTCCCTCCAGGTGGCAGAGGGGAGTCTCCGCCCAGCAGAGAGGGCACACATCACGGCCCGCCACACCCAACTCCTGTGCCTCGCCCCCTTTCCCCCAGCAGCACTCTGGGCCGAGCCCTGGGACAGGGCAGCCAGCTCACCGGCAGGTGAATCTGCCGTGAGACCCGCCAGGCCGGGTTATGTCCCCGAAGGAAACGCCCTGCGCCACCCGCAGCCGCAGTGGGATGTGGAGCCGGTGGGCGCGGGCTCTCCTGGCGGTGCGGGGCCTGGTGTCACCACGCGGCTCCTACAGGGGCCAGCAGTGCGGGGCCTCAGCCTGCAGGTCAGAGCGGCCTGTTCCCCCTGAAAAACAGGCCAATCGCTCTTTAAAAAATATCTTTTTAAACTGATGTCAGAGAGGAAGGGAGAGGGAGGGAGAGAGAAACATCAGTGATGAGAGAGAATCATGGAGCAGCTGCCTCCTGCACACCCACTGGGGATGGAGCCCACAGCCCAGGCGTGTGACTGGGAATTGAACCGCGACCTCTCGGTTCCCAGGTTTTGAGACTCAACCACTGAGCTCAGCAGCCGGGCCGGCCTCTCTTATTTCGGGGGGGAGGAGGGGAGAGCTGATGAGCCTCGGGGCCCAGCCCTGACCTTTCTCTTCTCACCAGCCCCAGGCAGCAGGTGCTCCCCCGGCAGAGGGGTTAGGGTTATAAATGCGTCTCGAGTGGCCTTGTCACCAGCCTGGGCCTCGCCTTGGCTCAGACGGGCTCCATCCACCTGCCAGGGTGGCGTCCAGGGCCTGTCCGTCTCGGTGCCCTTTCCTCCCGTGCCCTCCTAACCCCTCTGTCTGCCCGCAGAACCTGTGCACCGTCCTCAGCGCCGCCAGCAAGGTGGCGCAGCTGCAGTGCCTGTGGGCGGCCCGGGACGCGGGGGCCGTGAGCGCGCTCACCTGGGGCCTGGCCGCCTACACCAGCGCCAGTAAGAGCGGGAGCCTCTTCCTCCCCTGCCCCTCTGCCCCCCTCCCCGCACCCCTGCACTCACCCAACAGGGGCGGGCGTCCGTGATCCAACACGGGCTGTACCGAGTGGGAGCTTTCCCCTCAACGAACCTTTGCAGGGGCTTACTGTGTACACGGGATTTTCACAAAGCTGGGGTGGGGTGAGTGGGGGAGTGTGATGGCCGCAGGGCGGAAGGGGAGTGGCGGGAGCTGGGGCGGGCATGACTGCCTTTGCTGCTTTATGAAACACCCAGCTGTCTGAGAAGCGAGTGGGTACTGATTGCCGAAAATTTTCTGTTGCAGCAAGAATCATAACCACCTTACTGACCACCAATGACCTTACAAGTAAGCGAAACGTTCTCTGCCTCTTCCTTGTTAAAGACGCCTTTTGCCGCCTCCGTCTGTCCATGTCGCAGGGTCAGCAGGCCCGCTGGCCCCGAGGGAGGCCAGGCGTTTTCTCAGGATGACCGTACCACAGTGATTTCCTTCCCACGCGGTGGGAGACGCCCCTCCCTGCCCTCGACTCCAGGTGACGGGAGGGGGGTGCGCAGGGTAATCCTCCTCCTCAGCCAGATTCCTCCCGGTGACACGCCGAAGAGGATTCACAGTTAGGCCAAGTGGCCGGTGGCAGTCACGATGGGAAGGTCATTTTCCCGGAAGCATTTGGGACCACATCTGGGACCAGCATTGTTGCAAGTCTCATTTCTCTGAGGGGGAGGGGAGTGAAGCCTATTCAGGCTTTTAGAGCGAATGGTTCTGTTCTCTGATGTGAACACGGCCTTTAACATGCGCTTCTCCTCTTCTTGCCCGACGCCAGTCCTCGTGCGCTTTGTGATCATGCTGGTGTTGAACCTGTGGGTGACGGCCACCGTGCTCCGATACCGGAAGGCGGGTGTCAAGGCCGAATGATGGATCCGTAATTCTGACACACAGTGGACTTCGAGTGACCGGACCAAAGGAGAGAAGAGCTCATTGCTAATCGAAGTCTTTTATAAACTAGTCAATCGTTTCTGGATCTCTGGAGCCAAAGGTATTTTAGACGTGAGCCATTCAAACACGTGTTTAAAAAGGACCCCCCCCCCCCCTTTATTAGGTCAAGTTGAGGCTGGTGGTTAATGGAAACCATCCCAAGATCCACTGGGAGATGGCTTTGCCTCTTCAAAGTCATGGCTACGTTCTCTCCAAAGAGCTGACTGCATCCATTTTTCAGCTTCAGAATCTTTTAAGGAACAAGTCCCCTCTCTCCATGGCACACATGAGCGCCTAGTGGGGTTCTGCTCGGTCAGAAGGAGAACTGTGATCCATCACTAGGGGGGTTCACTCTCGGGGACGAGTGTCTAATCGCAGCAGAGAAGACAGGATGGCTCTATGTATCATAATACAATGTAATACCTGCTTAGGCATCACAAAGTTAGGCAAGCAGAAACGGAACTGGCTTGAATTCATATGCCAACTCAGTCCTTTACCTTCATGCTGTGCCTTTAAGTAATTCCTAACAAATGGGCTATTAAATGCAATCTCTGTGATGAAGCCTCTCACATTCTGATTTAAGCACAGTGCTGCCTTTTTTTAAAACTGCTTTTGAAAAAAAAAAATATATATATATTAGTACTTAGACACACACACACACACCCCGTACATATATTACTGATTTTGGAGAGGGAGATATAGAAACACCGATAATGAGAAAGAATAATTTCACTGATGGGCTGCCTCCTGCATGCCTCCCTCTGGGGATCAAGCCTGCAAGCCAGGCATGTGCCCTGACCGGGAATCGAACCGGGACGTCCTGGTTCACAGAACAAAGCTCAGGCACTGACTCACACCGATCCGGCAATGCTGCCATTTCCACAGGGGCCACAGCCATTCTTAGAATTCGGTACAAAATACAGCTTATCTTGACCAGGTTTCGTGTATTGAAAACATACGTGGTAAAGAGTATTGCTGAGTTCTGGCAATACTTATGGGCTTTATTCTCATTACAGTATCATATTCTAAACATGACAAGATTATTATGTACATGGTATTTTTCTATAAAAGTTTATAAAGCTTAACACTTAACTCTTCTCCCCTTGTAACTGAATGGCATTATTTTGGTGTGTACATAAATGATACTATTTAGATGTTTTGGTTTCCTGTGTAAAATAAACTTCCCAATTTTGAACTCTTCTGAGTCTTAAAACTGTTTCAATGTGAGTAGTTTTCAATGATGTAAAGAGCCATTTGAAAATACAGATTGTGGTTCATCTTTTAGAACGACTGCTTGGGAACAGCAGGGACAGAAACATGCCATTTAAAAAAAAATCGTTCACTCTAGTTCTTAAATCATAGTTGTCCCTTTTTAAAAATCAAGTAAATCCTTTCTCGTGTGCAGTTACAATCTGATTGGTCTACATAGTGACTTTTGGTTCTTATTAGTTCCTTATCCCGGTCGAAGGCTCTCCTTTAAGAATGTGCCCGGGGTGGTGGCCTCCAACTTTCCCTTTGGGGGAAGGGAGTAGGAGCCACTGCGGACCCTCACTGACACACGTCTCCTGGCTGGTCCCCGTCTCCTGGCTGGTCCCTGAGGGCCCTGGCAGCCAACACCTCCCCTCTGCGGCTCAGGGCGTAGCCTGGCCAGGTGAGCGCCGAGCCGTGTCCTGGGAAGAACGCCGGTCACCGGAGCAATGCTCCCGGGACCCCCGGCAGTCAGCACTGTTTCTCAACAAAGGCGCCTGGCTCTCCCTTATCCTCAGCACCAAGCGCAGCTCTGCACGCCCTTTACATCACAGGCTCCTGCCAAACTCCACCTTCTCTATCTCTGTGCTCAACGACAGGGCCGAAGATTACTACCAAGCATCTAAAACCGGAACCATCCCCACAGGCCACGATTAATTTAATAAAAAAACAAATTTGCAATGAATATCATAATCATCACTCACAATTCAGGTGTTCTTGAATATTTTTCAGCTGAAAATTCCCAAGAAAAACGGGTTTGAAGCTGGTTGGGGCTGCCACTTGGGGAAAACCTCTTCTACAGACGCACGTGGCGGAGGGGCAGGCGGCCGCTGGCGTGTACAGATGCTTGTGGTGTGCAAGGGGTTAGGTTCATTATAACTTATTGGCTATCCACCCACCTTTAATACCCATATTTTTAGGGAAGGCAAATTTGGGGAGTACATTTTAGGTTGCAGCATACCAGGAGTATTTCACAGGAGAAGTATAAAAATGCTTATGTCTTAATTATTTATTTTTTTAATATAAAAAGCAGGCATAAAATACAATTACATTTCTACAAAGATGCAACAAATTTAAAAGAAAAATCAGGGGGATACGATTTCTGTTCAAAGGGGACAGCTGATCAAATATTTGTGATTATCTAAATCATGCAGTTCAACTCGGTACAACTTCAAACAAAACTCATCGCGGGGAAGGAAGCGGCCAGCGTCCCGGCTAACACTCAGCGCTGTCGCAGCGCAGCTCACAGTGCTTCCGAGCAGAACAGCGTGGCGTCTCCCGCCCGTGGGGAGGACAGGAGTCATAGCAGTGTCAACACCGGGAGAAACTCGGTGTGACCTCCTCTGGCCGGAACTTACAAACAGCTTCTTCTCGGAGCGTGCTCCAGCGGCCCGGTGTCCAGGCCTGTGTGCACCAGGCCCGAGGCCTGTTAGCAGCCGAGGCAGCACTTTCGCGCCGGTCTGGCCCCGAGCACTGCTGCTGCTGCTGCTGCTGCTGCTGCTGCTGCTCCTCCTCCTCCTCCTCCTCCTCTGGGGCCCAGGCAGGCTGGGAGGGCGCCTGCCCGGCCAGATTCCTACAGCCAGTGCAGGCTAGCTTCAGAAACTCTCACCTACGCCTTAGATTTCCTGGCACACTTTTCCTCTGGCTGTAGTATTTTAAGTGTTCAGATTTTTTTTTAAAAAAAATTTTGCTTCTGGATAACAATTTAATACTTTTCAAAAATTCACTATACACCAATTTTCAACAATAACACCAGTTTTACTTCTACTTGTCTCGCTTATCCCCACGAAAGTACAAAAATCTAAGAAAACCCCAGCATTCACTACTTCGTTCTCAATAGGAGGTATTTGTGGCTCTGGGGGAAATTAGGTGTGAGGAAAGAAGCGACTTTTGGTCTCTATTTATCTTGGAAGCTTTGGAGCCTCCAGAGAGAGAGAAGCTGGCACAGAACTTGGCTGTCACACCAAGTCGGTATCACGCTGAGTGATGCTGGGAAGAGCACTGGGTAGGTGCATGCACCATTCATGTTCGCACATGAAACCAGCAACAGGGTAAAGAGCAAATCCTTACCCAAGGCCGAATCTTTATTAAGCACATTGCTGTTAGCTGGACAGCTTTATAAATTCTATGTCAAACCACATAATGTGAATGATCTCCATGGGAGAGATTGGCTTCACCCCCTAGAATATCCCCCCAAGGTCACATGATCTTCCTTGGACAGTTGCATCACACCATGATTCCCCATATTCTCTTATATACAGCATTCAAAATTTAAACTTTTGCCATTTTTACTCAAATATTTCAATTACTCATGTGTAAACTTCAAATTATTTCACCTTAATAAAGTTTATTAAAAATATATATATATACTCTCCAATTCAGAATATGATAGAACCTCCCATAGAGTAACAAAATCTTTATATAAAATATTAATTCAGTCTCCTTTTAACAAGTCTAATAAGTGGAAATAGTTATTCTATATAAATTTTATATATTTTTCATTTTAAAATCTTACTTTAAAAAACATCTGTGCCCCGAACCAGAACCGCAGAACACACCTGCGAGGCCCGCCTCCCGCACGCGGCCCCGTCAGCACAGGCGGCGGGGGGAGGCAGGCTGGTCACCGGAAGAGGAACGAGGTTCCGTTTCAGGACATGGGCAGCCACGGCCACTCTTCCGTTTGCACGACAGTATCTGTAACTGGGACCCACCGTTAAACATCCCCACACTGACCCCCGGACAATGAAAATGCCTCCGTTCCTTCGCTGAAATAGCGGATGATGTCTCTGAGCATCGTGCCGAACTGTGTATGTATAGAGAGAGACGGATAAAAGACTAGTTTTTCACCTGATGCTTCTCACTGAGGCATCCTGTCACAGTGAAAAACAGACTTCTGCGGGATGAGAAACACAGCAGGAACGGTCCTGCCCGCGCTGTGATTTTAACAGCATTAAATAAAAAGTTAAGTGCCTTTGAGGCCGCTTCTTCCCAGGCACCAGCTTTCACAACCCAGTACTGAAATATTGCCATACACTACTGTGTGGTGAGGGGTCACATTTCAATACTTAAAATATATCTAGAGGATATTTTAGTTTTCTTTATATTTGAGATAATTTTTGAATGCTGAGTGTGAAATGTAAAAATAGTCACGAATGTCCTTATCAGAAATAAAAACCTATCTAGGGTAGTCAGCAAATTCCAAGCAAAGAAAACATTTCATAGTCACACACTAATACTGAGGTCTGTAAAAAGGCTTGGATGAATAATAGATAAACATAAAAGATATATTAGTTCTAATACTATCCATTATTGTTTCTCTAACCATACTTTAAAAAATTGTTATACAATCAAAATAGGCTGACAATGATAACTATTATATGTAAAAATAGTGCACTATCTTCTTCTGCAAAGCAAATTTGCATCCTAAGAGTTGGTAAACACTTTTCAATACAGAAAAGGGCTGGGACTTGGGAAAAATTAAATTAAGGCATTCAAAATGGATAAAGTTACCTATCACGAAGCAATAGGAAATCGATATAATTAAATTCCAAGTTTCTGGTACAGCAACATGAACATGCAGCTCCATCAGGTACACAAATGAGTGCTATAACCCAATGTTATGGCTTTGTACAAGTGCATAGTTGCAACTGTAGTAAGTAATGGTATCTGATTAATGAGTATAAAAAATAGTGGGAAGTTAAAAAACCCTCTTGCGGTATTACAGTACTACATATGTGTGTGTACGTGTACACACACACACACACACACACACACACACACACACAGTAGAATGGTCACTTCTTCAAGACGCAGTCTGTATCACTGTAGTGAAATCCGTTCCCAGATTCCTGCGGAGAACATGCTGGTGAACCCTCTGCCGAAGCTGAACAGATGCCGCCTTTGACTCTTCTCTGTGCCACGCGGTGTGAGTGTGTGAGTGTGCCACAACAGCTCTACGGAGCTTCTGGAAGAGCTGCATCTGATGTTCTTTATTAACCAGTCTCCGCTGGTTCAACCTGCTGTCCCAAAGGAGCCTAGGAAAATCTCTCCAAGACTTATAATTTATATTGTGGGAATAAAAGGAATATGTATATGTGTATCAGTCTCTCAGGAAAATACAGCTTTACAATAAATTTTGGGCCATCATATTTCAGTCTTATTTTAACTGGAAGAAAAGGATCACCTTGAATAATGACTGCATTCATAGAAGGCAGTTAGCTGTAAAGAAAGGAAAAATAAAGTTAGTTGAGATAGTGAAATAATAAGATTGTTAATTCCTTGAAAAGGCATTCCATGTACACCATTAAACTAGATAGTCTTCCAAATACAATACTTTCAACACCTAAATCATGCATAAAATGTATTTACCGTGCTACTTTTTTTAGGTACATGCAATTATAGTCTTTTTCATATTTTTCTATATTGGCCACAGACATGACACACAGTTTAATACGTTAACTATCAGGTTTAGACAATATGTCACTGAATAGCTCATGTGAACGCAGTGTGACTTGGAGTCTGGCTGCTCGCTGCCTCAAGCAGCTGAGAGAACAGTGGGCTTCTGGACCAGGCTTCACTTCACTATCTGACCCTTAAAATCTATTAGATGGAAACAGACACATTATAGTAAGCAAAATGCTCTGTATATCCGGGTTATAGACAGAACCCCAATATGACACTAGTGGCCCATTGCAGGAAGATCTCTGCAATAGGGCTTCCTGTGCAGTCACTGCCCCGCCTGCTTCCCTCCCCTCTCCCCGCCCGCCCAGCTAGCTCGCTCGCTTCTCCACAGCGCTTGGCTTCTTTCTACTCTGTCTTCAGCCTTCACTCTGGCCTGGATATGCAAATTAACCACCACCTTGGTTGGGTTAATTTGCATACTCGCCCTGATTGGCTGGTGGATGGAACCTGTGGGCGTAGCAAAGGTGCGGTCAATTTGCATGTTTCTCTTTTATTAGGTAGGACAGGTATGTTTTGCAATGTGCTTACTTAGATTAAGATAGACCCTTTTTTAAAAATCCATCCCATGCAAAACATTTAACTCAGGAGGTTATATTTTTATTTGCACCCACTCCAGCCACTATTAACCAAATTATTTTACATTTTCTAAAAGCATAAGACCATACCATATCATTGGCATCCTTCAGCAAGAGAAATATTACATTTCCCAAAACCAAACATTTCACAACATCACAAAGCATCCCAGATCAGAAACAAATATTTCACAGCACTTATTAGACTTATAAAGTTTCAACAGTTTCAACTCTTGCAGTTAGAAAGGAAAATGGAGGAAGGGAGGGAGGGAAGGAGAGAGGATGGAGGAAGAAAGAAACCTCATGCTATGTTCACAAACTCACACAGTTGTAGGAACTTGAAAACTATAAATTGTACTTCTCTGAATATGGCTTCTTTAGAATAAACAGAAAGTACCATATTTAGTTCCTTTTGTTATTTCTACATGTTTTGTTCCTAAGATAAAAATTATGAATCTGAACATAGCATTTCACTTTTCTATTTAACATAAAAATTTAGTTAGAAACTTTCTTGAAAACTACTTTTTAAATATATACTATTAAAAAATTAATAAAATTTCAAAAGTAGCAAAAAATGAAAACCCAAATGCAAACAGCATGCACTACTTGAAAGTACTAAAATAACTCATTTTTCACTTTTTGATTTACCCCATTTATTTCTTCAGAAATCAAAAACATCGTCATCATCATCACCACCACCATCAACATCATCAAATGACCAATCCCAGTCTTTAAATGCCAAATCAAGCAATCTGTAATGGGAGGTTTTCAGTTTATACTCTAAGAATACTTTTTAGGAACAGCAGTTTCATAAACTATGATCTAGAAATCACACTTTGAATGTGCATAAGCATGTTTGTTTTCCCTCCATCAATAACATGATTAAGATGGAAACAGCCATTTATATATCTTTTTCTTATCTATAGAGGCCGGTGCACGAATTCGTACAGGGGAAGGGGTCGATCAGGACCTGCTGGCGCTGGGGGGGGGGGGGCCCTGCAGGAGGTTGACCAGCAGGCCCTGACCTAGCTGTGTACATGTGCTGAGATAGCGGCACACAAAAGCCACAGAGAGAGCACCCACTAACGGCCTGAACACCAGCAATGCTCTGAGGGGGAAATACAGCTCTACTTCTGCCTGCACTCAGGCATCTCACTCTCCCCGGTGCAGAGTTGCTGACAGACGGGTTGTCTCTCCTACCTCAGCCACACATTTTTTCAGGGGTCTGCCCCCAATTGTGATAGGTAGCTGACTTCAGCCAATTGTGGCATGACGCTGCAGGAGCACTAGCCAATCAGCAGTTGGGAGCCTGGAAAGGCATGGGGCTGAGCTAGAAGTGGCTGATGGGGGCAGAAGGTCAAGAGCTGTGTGCGCGGGGTGCGGTGGCAGAGGGAAGATGGTGGTGGTGCTTACTTTATGTCTTTGCAGTTAGGCTGCTGCCTTGCCCCTTCTGCCCACTCCGAGCTGCTACTCTGTCTTTATCAGGGTTGCTCTCCTCCTACAGGCTTCCCGGACCCAAACTCCCCAGTGCCTGGAGCCTTAGCTGGGGGGAGGGACCACGGGAGGTTGGCCAGACAGGAAGTTGTTTGTAGGAGCACACTGACCACCAGGGGGCAGTTCCTGCATTGAGCATCTGCCCCCTGTTGGTCAGTGTGCATCATAGTGACTGGTCGACCAGTTGTTCAGTTATAACAGTCGCTTAAGCTTTTATATATATAGATGCATATAATCATGTTGGCCAGGTATGCTTTCCAGAATACCAGAGAACTGAAGAAAAGAGAGGAAATAGTAGTATTCAGAATGTAGCTTTCTCCATTCCAGCAGGACCCTACTTGCTCAATGGGTCACCAACAGTTATGCGCTCCATGAAAAACATCTGAACTCTTGGCTCTGTCACTTCGCTGTGTGACCTTAGGCACACGATGCTTCTGTGTGTCAGTCTCATCGTTAAGAGAAGAAATGAGTAGCTAACCCACAGGTTGGTTTTGAGGATAAATTAGTACAGTTAATAGTAACAGCTAACACCCATTTAATTATTATTTTAAAACAATTCACCACAGAAAAAAGGGAAGTGCTGCAAAGAGGAGGATCAGAATCGGGAATGCCACAGAAGCTAGAGGGGAAAATGTAATGGTACAAACACTGAAAAAAGAAGTTAAGAAATAAAATTAGTTGTGCCCTGGCTGGTGTGGTTCGGTTCAGTGTCATCCGCTGCACCAAAAGGTTGCTGTTTCTAGTCCCAGTCAGGGTTGTGGGCTTGATCCCTGTAGGGCACATGCAGGAGGCAGCTGACTGATGTCTTGCTCTCACATGTCTGTCTCTGTCTCTCTGTGTCTCTCTCCTTTCCATCCCTCTCTCCAAAATTCAATTTTAAAAATCTTAAAAAAAGGATGTATTTATGGGTATTTTGTTTTAGTGTATGATGATATCTAACAAAGACAAATATTTGTTTTAAAAAACACACCATATAAATTAAAGTACAGCTACACTGACTAGTGCTCAGCCTATTATTAAAACAATACAAAAAAGGAGCTAGATATTAAATTACTGCTGATACACACCAGGAATGCTGTCCCTGATTCCCCTAGCTGATCTTTACAGCTCTCCCGCTTTCTACAGGAACAGGCTATAAGCCAGGAGGACCTTAAAGCCATCTAGTCAGTGCCTGACTCGCCCCTGGAGCCATGCTGCCTGACGTCAGACTGCACACACAACAGTGCTGCCACGCAGCGTCTAACCAAGTGAACAGTTTATAAACCCTCTTCTTCCCAATTTAAAACTCTGAGTGTCTGATAGCTTTCCCTTCCAAAGTTAAAATGTGCCTCTCTGCTCGGTTCTTGTACTAAATATTCTTTGCTGCCTTAACCAGTTTGGCTTAGTGACAGAGCCTCGGCCTGCGGACTGAAAGGTCCCAGGTTTGATTCCAGTCAAGGGCATGTGCCTTGGTTGCGGGCACATCCCCAGTAGGAGGTGTGCAGGAGGCAGCTGATCAATGTTTCTCTCTAATTAATGTTTCTAGCTCTCAATCCCTCTCCTTTCCTCCCTAAATAATCAGTAAAATATATTTTTTTAAAAACATTATTTAATAAATTAATTAATAAATCTTCATTGCTATTTATGATCTCCCAACATTTCAAATAATTTCTTCAGAAATCCTTAATTTCTCCCTTGCTACATGAGTAATACTTTCAAATGAACCTCAGTTATTCTCTTCTATACACCCTCCAATTTGCACTACCCTTAAAATGTGACACCCAAAAAATGAGTGCAAACTGTACGGTTATTCACGTGAGATAAAATATACAGTTTTATAAGAGTTAATGAAGCAATGAAGGCATAAATGTTAAAAGCAATGGAAATATTGTTGCAGAAGCATAATAAAAAACAAAATCATATTTTAAATGTGCCCATCTTTACATTTAAAATGTCAGAGTATATTAGATTAAAACTTTTTTACAAAAATACCCTATGCATATTACAGTCAGTTTTGCTATTAGTTTTATCTACATGCATAGTTGTGAGCGGAAGAAATCCCTATTACTTACTGTTGGCTATGCAAAATGTATTAAAAAATCAATGAAGAATGATTTGAAGGGTGGGGCCAGAACTAAAACAAAACAAAAAACAACAAAAATCAAAAGTAAAGGTGCTTTTAAAAAGACCATGATGCTGAATTAGGGGAGGAGGGGAGGAGACGGAAACTCGGTGAACAAGAAAAGGTTATGGAAGTGAGGTATGCCTCATTTTGTCCCTAGAATGCTATGATTATATACCTAAACATGGCAAAAAATTGGCCCTTTAAATATTTTTGGTTGAGTGTAATATATATGTGTGATTTGGTAAATAAATTTATATTACATTTACCTAAATCAGTGAACGAGACATGCATACTTAAATAGTTTCAAAGATTTGGTATTCCATAATTCATTAAAATATCAAGGAAAAGAAAATTGCAACTAGAAAAATCTGAAGGAAAAAAAAAAAAGAGAAAAATCTGTAGCTTGAATATGAATAGTAAAATATTTCTAAAAATGCTTTCATCTTTATCAAATTTCAGCTACTACCTTGGTTTGTTCGGGGCGAGCTGTCGACTTGGCCGTCTGATGGACTGGTTCTGCTGGATCTTCATGGACGTTCTGGGAGAGGACCGTGCAAAAGGGTCTGGAGCCGGAGGCTTTTTAGGTATCTTCTTCACCAGACGACTCACCCACTTTTGCTGCTCTTCTGTCGAGTTTGCTAACACCAACAGGTTCTTTGCCGTTGAAATATCATAATAGACTATAAAAAAATTATAAAATAATTAATGTGTTTAAAATGATATGCACATAAATATTGATGGGGCAAGTAATTTACTATTTACCTTTGCAAGGTGCTATAATCTCTTCCTTTTTGTCCATGTGGTCTTTATGGCATTTAATATGGCAGCGGCGGCATTCCAGAGCAGGAGGCGGCTTGAACATATGCCACAATGGCTTCATGCAGGCCTCGCAGTTGGTTGGAAAGTGGTAGAGAGTAGGAATAAATTCATGTCCTTTGTGGCAGATATAATTTGACTTTTCTCCCACTGGCTCCACTGGAAATTCTTGTTCCTTCTTACTTTCTCCTTCATTGGCATACAGAATCTATACATACCAAAAAGCACAATGAGTGATTCCTAAACACAAGCTATTTTTTAAATAGTAACAATTCGTATAACATAAAATAAAATTAACCTAAGTTACTCAATAAGAAGAAAATGCACCTGACGTTCAAACAGTAGTAGGTTCTGTCTCATCAAGAGCTTATATGAGAAAAGTTATTATACAGTCACTTCGGTTAATTTCAAAAGAATCATTCTTGTTCAAATGGCGCCTCTTCTTTCCCCATATCTTACTAAGCTCAGCAGTCTTATCAGAACAGGCTAGCAAGAGGTAAACCTGCACATGCTGTGTGTTAGAAAGTTTTTCTGGGAGGGAGTATTCAAAATAATCACCTGAAGAGATGTGGCAATTATATGACTTGATGCTTTTATGACTTTCAAAAATAGACAACTGGTGCTAACTAACTGAAAAGACCAGAGTTAAGAAAGAACAAAGAAAAAGATGTATCATATACTCCAAATAAACATGCTCAGCACCAGAAAGTAATTTCCCCATAGTACACCAAACACAATGGCTTTTACACGGAAGGAGCTCAATAACTTTTGGTCTAATTTTTTTAAAAGAAATTTTATTTTTTGTTGTTGTTAATCCTCACCCGAGGATATTTTTTATTGCTCTTTAGGGAGAGGGGGAGGGAGGGAGAGACAGAGAAACACCGATGTGAGAGAGACACCCATCGGCTGGTTGCCTCCTGCGCGGACCCTGACCAGGACCCAGGCCGGAGAGGAGCCTGCGACCAAGGTATTAATACATGCCCTTGACTAGAATCAAAACCGGGACCTGTTGTTCCACAGGCTGATGCTCTCTCCACTGAGCCGAACTGGCTAAGGCTGGTCTGACCATTTTTAAAATGAAAGTAGTAAAAAGAAGAATTAGGCTTCACTTTAAAGCAGAAGGAAAGGGCTACTGGGTTCAAATTTTTACTTCACAAGCAACTTTTTTCACTTCCGAGAGAGCTGAACATAAAACCACCAACAGAAGAAAGTTTATGCTTTAAAAAATGTCATAAGCAACCTTGAACAAAAGAATAGCAAAGGTCAGAAACATGATATCAATACACTACAGACTTTAAAATGTAAAATGGAGAGAGAAATGAAGCTAAATCCAAACAGAATAGCCATGAAAATCACAAAAGAATGAACCACCTTTAAATGGAACTAAAACTGAAAGGTAATCTGAAGATAGCCCAAGAATAAAAAAATTCGGTATGTCATGTCACTCTTAAAATCTCTAAAGGTGAAAGGAAAAAAACAAACAATAAAACAAAACCAACCAAAAACAAAATAAAACTATGTTTACCTGAAATATCCTTGGAATTTCTTTAGCATCTGCTCTATATACATCTGTCTGTGTAACTGGTCGGACATGAAACAACTTGCTATAAAAGATTTTTAATAAAGAAATAAACTGTTACCAAAAGATCAAATTACATTAGTTATCCTATACTAGACAGAAGTTAAAACTGACTACGTATTCTGACCCATGTTAGAAGGTCAGAGAATATCTTGCTAATTCTATCACTCCTTGAGATTTGGAGAAAATTTTAATGTCAGAAAACTTTGATTTCATTTCAGAAAACAACCAGTAAAGACCCATGAAATAAAAATGTCTTAGCTAACTGATATCTCAGACGCCCATCCATCTGCATGAAGCAAATATAAGAAATGTAACCATAGTCCAGCAGCAGCTATACTATATGAGTCAACAGACATGTGACTGCTTTATATGACTACTGTATGCACTAACCTGACAAAAATGTCATGTTACCCTCTTATACTTTAAAAAATGAAGTTTCTACATATTCTAATACAGACACTTACTCTATATCTAAAACCATATACGGATTAGAATGCTCTTTATCTTGTTCGCTGTCATAGAAGAGAATCTTCTTACTGCTTACGATCACATACTGTTAAAAAGGGAAGAAATTAAACAATGATTAAAGTTCCTAAATAATGATTAAAGTTGTATATAATTTAAATAAGCAAACTGAAAGTATTTTTTTGGACTGATTCAGCTTAAGACCCAGTAACACAGGTAGCCAACCTGCTGCTATAGTCTGAATGTTTATGTTCCCCCAAATTCATGTGTTAAATCCTAACGCCTAATAGATGGTATGAGGAGGGGCCTCCGGAGGGTGAGTAGGTCATGAATGAGCTGAATGAAGCTCCAGAGAGGACCGGCCCTTCCACCGTGTGAGGACACAGCGGGACCTCTGCAGCTTGAGAGAAGACTGGACCAGAAGCCAAACAGGCCGGCTCTCTGGACTTCCAGCCTCCAGAACGAGGAGAAATAAGTTTCTGTTTTTCACAAGCTCCCAAGTTGCGGTGTTTTGTTATACAAGCCTCAATGAACTAAGACACCCCAAAGACGAACATAACATCAATAATCATAGTTAACAGAGGAAAATAAATAAATGGGTCTTTCTGTCACATCCAGAGTTGTTTTCCCAACAAAAAAGCAAAAGCACAAAAACCTATTTTATTATTAACAACATATTAATGATAAAAGTCACTTTTACAAAGATATATAAACCCATGCGATTGGAAATCAGACAGTACAAAAGTTTTATGTGTCTGCATGATCTAGTTATATTACTGTATGTTCTTTATACCTACAAAAGTGAAATGGCTGTATGTAGCTAACCCAGCCAACAGCAAAGCAAAAGAACCACGACGAGAATACTAATTACCTTTCTAACCCATCCGAACTTCTTAGTGTTGTTTCTCACAGGTAACGAAAGCCATCCCTCCAGTCTTGATTCTATAAATAAACAAATGAGGACAAATATAACAATTCTAAGAAAATGAGAAATTTAATAAAATTTTAATATAAGTCACAAAACCAATCTGTCCTTCAGAATTTACCACTGCTCATTATCTAAGATATAATAACAATGCGGATCAGTATAAGCAAGTTATGCAATGCAAAACAAAACTCGGGTTATAGCTCATTGGAAATATATATCCTAGAGTTTATAAAGTCAAATGCCTGCTGCTTAAGCTCCTGCCTTTGCACAGTTCAGCAGAAAAGTTGCAAAGAAGAGAAGCAGCTCTTCTCACTAACACACCTGCATTAGGTAGGACCTCTGCTTTTCCTGCGGAAGGAGGCCCAATTATAGATATGCTGCACATTTTCTTCGAAGAGAAAACATTTTAAGGGAGTAATTGCATGTTCAGATGAAATTAAATAAATTATGTAAATTACAGATTAAAATTGATAAATGCGTTGCAATATAAGCACGTGATTTCTAAATTCCAACACATCAAAATTAATAAAGACCAAATCCTTAGAATTTGTTCTACTGGCATTTGATCATCATCTTTCAATAAAATAATTAAGTGAAATAAGCATTTTTGGATATTACTCTATTAATAAAAGTAGCTGTCACTTGTTTAACATCTACCATGTCTGAATCCGTGCAGGATGCTTTACCTAAAACTTTCTTAACTCTTACCACCCCATGGAGAGGTCACACAGGTACAATTCTGACTACAGCGCCTAAATACTCCCTGGCATCAACGCCCTTCCAAACTGTCTGAACAGAGAAATGCTGTCCCATGCCAGCTTAAGGGACTAAATCAGATGACATCTAACACTATGCATAAGACTGAAATAATTTTATTGCTAAAGCTCTAAAACAACTTCACGATCACTTATGATTTATATTATATACTAATATATACACCTGAGAAATGTGACAATGTAAGTAACTATTTACTTTGAATTCAATTCATAAGAAACTAAATTTTACCTTACATTCAACTGCTCCTTCATTAATTTCCTGTGGCATTTATATGACACGTTTTTGTACCCAGACTAACTTTGTGTTAAACATAATTTCAGGTATTTTCTATCCCGTTTCTTCATTTAAATGGTAAGAGCAGGGATCAGGTCAAATTGTCTTATACTCCCTTTTAAGGCCTAGCAAAATGCTGCCTAGGAAGCACTCACTGGAAACCCAAACGCGTTCTCTGAGACAGTCTACATGCTTTTTCTGTATTGTCACTCTTGCTATGAAGCCTCAAGAAGAGCTTCTTCTTGGTTGAAAATGGCTGAAACAGGCAGCGAACCACATGCCCTTAAATGATGCAAAGTACCGTCTCATTTCTTGTCTATCAGTTGTCACAGCAATGCCAAGTGCAAATACCCCCAAAACAAACTCTTTGTCCATGCGGGAGTCTCTTTTTAACTGAGACTAGAGCAATTTGTTAGAGTCAGTGAATATTAGTTAATGTCACAGAAGTTTTTCACAAAGACTAAAATTAAGAGTAGTCAGAAAAACCTCAAGGGGGAAGATTTTCAGGATATCACCTGTATCATTAAGTTCCGATGAAATGGGTAAGTAAGGCAAAGAGTCTTCTTCTGAGTCAGAACCAGAGTCAAGAAGCATATGAGAACTGGAAGGCTTAGTAGCAATATTGAGAGAGGTAGAGGAACGCTGGTAGGTGAATGACATGGATTCCATAGTGTGTGACTGAGTGATGTGAACTAAACACCCAACATAAAGAGAGTAAGAATGCAGAAAAGAGTTAAGAGAAAAGAAAATGAAAACTTAAAAAGAGAGCTAGCTACCTATAATATATAATGAACTACTTCAAATAACTAAATATATGAAATTTTCTTTTGCATTTTTTTAATGAAAAATTTTGTCAAACATCAGTAAGTAAATAAAATAAGTTAAAACTCCTTTGAATCTCTACTCCAAGGAGAAGGTTTCTGCCTTAAAAAAATGACAGTTTTCCTCAAGAACAAAGTCAGTCACAGTTTAAATAACCAACAGATTTATACTGAAGACAAAAGCTTTTAATAAAATAAAGAGGGTGGAAAATAGGTTTGTGTACCTGGGAACCCGTCATCCGCCTCGGCATCCCCCGGGCCACTGCCCGTGCTGGAGCTGTCCATGCCCATGTGTAAGGCCTGCAGCTGTGAGCGGAGCTGCTCGATGTCACTGTCTTTACTGTCCAGTGTCATCTGCAGTTCAATGCGAATCTGGCTCTCTTCGGCTATTTGCTATGAGGAATTAAATTGTATTACATTAACTGGATGCCATCTCTCTCTCATAATTTTGCTTCTTAGTCCAGTAATTATTAATAGAAATGTTCTATAATCAATAAAATATATACTGACATGAAAATGATTCTACTTCTTAAAAAAGAAGTCTTTGAATTAGAATCCAAAAAGTATTCTTACAGCCTGCATTTCATTCAGTTCTTTCTGGTACTTGATCATCTGCTGGGTCAGTTTTTCCCGTTCGGATTTAAGCTCCATATGCAGCTTTCTGTTCTCCTTCTCTTTCCTCCGCACATCAGTGTCACTGCCACGCTTGATAGGTTCTTTTCGATTCATGATCTCAGCCAACTTATTCACAGCCTTAAAACATAAAAATAAAGTATATACACAAAAAAATACATTTCGCTGGTGGTTTCTTGGTAACTCACCAATAGCAAGTTATATAGCCGCTAATAATCTCCTTTCCCTATACACAGGGCCACAAAGAAACGCCTTGCATATTTGGAAACACACCTCCTCTCATTACTCATTATCCTTCCCCAACCTCTATTCCACCAGTTTTTCACTCATGTTTTCAGAGAACCGAGACTTAAAATGCTTATAGGTCTGATCTGATGTCACTTGCTTCCCCTTGGAGTTTGGAGTTTTAAGAGACTTTTTCTAGGCACATCTTTTATCTGGAAGAGGATTTTGCAGGTGTATTCCATTCATAAAATACATGTCCAACCACAGAACAACACACGTGGGACTCAAAAGTACTGCTGCTGAATTACACAACCATGAGGTTGACAGAAGGATGGTCAATATCACAGGTACCTTTTTTCAGATTGACCTTCTTTTAGGCTGTCAGCAAATGGTCATTCTCTAAAATTTCTTAAAAAGCAGAAAAAGCTTATCAGATTATAATAAAAAATTAGGAAGGAATGTGATTCTATATGAAAAAATTAACAAAAACTTTAATAAATATTAAACTGAACAATGTTAATCAAATCTAACTTCTATTACCTTGGCAAAAGTCAGGTAACTGGGACTGTTCATAATACTGACCCATTCATGGACAGCTACGGCCAATTTGTAATGCCAAAAGTCAAACAGAAAAGACAGAAACTAAAAAAATTTCAAGATCCTATTTAGAGTCTATTATACATACTTGAGTTTTGAGTGTTCTCTCTGTTAATAACTGCTTCTCAAATTGTGCTTTAATAGCTGCTGCACTTATCTCTTCATCTTTTAACCTTGACAGTTCTGAAACACAAAAAATGTCACCATTATATTGATAACTAAGCCACTGACCACCATTAGGTAAATTTAAAGTTAACGTTCTTTGTTAATACATACGTTCTTGAGCATCTTTCAATTTGTTATTTAATTCTTCTTTCTCATTTGCAAGATTGGCAACATCACTAGTTAATGTCCTATTAGTTTCTTCAAGCTAAGGAGTAAAGCAGAATAAATATCATATCCCAATTTACAAATTTAAGTTATCAAGTAAGAATTCAAAATAAAAATACCTAGAATGTTACTAAAACTCCCGTTTTTCTACGTACATCTATCTCCAAACTCTCTCTTGGTGCTACCTTACCAAATTTAAACCATAATATACCTTATATGCACCCCAGGAAGCCAAAGGAAATGCCCTCTTCTTAAATATCCTCAGCAGTATTTTTGAGAAAAAAATTTAATAAACTAAAAAAAGTGCAAATACTATAACAAAGCTCTGCATTGCACCAGGCAGAATAAACAAAAGTTAAAACTGCAGTCTTTCTTTCAGAACATTATTTTAAAACAGAACATAAAATTTACTAAAGAAGTTGATATCCTTTTGTAGTCTCTCTGAATCCTATTCTTCCTTCCTGGAGGAATTTTTACTGTGAACTTCGTGCTCATCCTTCATTCACGATTGTATACTTTCATTACACACACACACGAGATAATATATAATGGATTTTTATGTGATTTTAAATTGTCCATAAATAGCGCCATGCTGTATTTATCTTTCTGAAACTACTATCACTTGATATTATATCTAGACCTAATTAATTCATTTTAACTGATATAGTTCCATATTCTACCACATTTCATCCATTCATTCATTCTTCTATTGACATTTACATTTTTGCTATTACAAATATATTTACTGCTATGAGTATGGTGCCTGAATTCCTCTAGCATATTTATCTTAATGTTGACTTTCTTTGGATAATATAAACAATTTTAAATGTTCATACTATTTACAATACTACTCTATGCCATACTAAATCTACACTCCCCATAGCAGTAAATACAAATGCCACTTTTTAGACATCCTTTAAACATTTAAAATTAGTCAAGGTACTAATTTCTGCCAGTGTGACGAGTGGAAACAATACTAGAAGCAGATAGTTAAGTGGATCGGAAATCTTGTAGCCAGCATGTACAACTTTTCATTTGGATCTATGTTATTTTTCTAATTAAGTTCCTAGACCTTATAAGGAATATTTATGATACAGCAATTTAATTGTAATAAAAAATGAACCAAGAATTTTACTTACAGAGGCAATGGTAGCATCTTTTTCACTGAGTTCCTGTTTATGCCTAGCCATCATCTCTTTGATCTCCAGCTCCTTCATGATTTTCTCTTTTTCCAAATCAGAATACTGCTCTTCAGCAATGGAACGAGCCAGCTGCTCAGAATCTGCTTTGGTCAAGGTGATCTCCAGCTGAGCAGCCAAGGAGTCCCTACATTTCAGAGACATAGCACCTTCCATTGTCACTCTGAAGTCCAAGTTTACACTCATTCACTTCACCAACAATGTTTATTTGGAATATATCAGGCCTCTTCTAGGGCAGGGCATGTGCTTATGAACTTAAGAGATGGACCTTGCCCTTACCTTTCATCCTGTAATTCCTGCTGCTTTTGCTGCAATTCTTTACAAAGTTTGGTCTTTTCTTCACACTCTTCTTTAAGTTCCCTAACCTGTGTTTTATAGAGTGTCTAAACAGCAAAATATAACAGACATATATATCAACATCATCATCAGCAGCAGCAAGAATAGCTTTACATTCAAAAATCTATCCAGACAAAAAGTTGATACATACAAATATATTAATAATAGTGAGTAATGTTGAGCCCCTGAGTAAATTAATGCTTTAATATGCTTTTTGATTTTCGTTTAATCAACCAATTAACTAATAAAGTTCAGCTAATAATTTAGAAGTTTTATTTTCAACAGAATATCATACTGAGATTTTTCTCATTAAATGACATAGACTGACAGGGATAAAGAGGCAAAAAAAAAATAGTACTAATTTAAACAAGAAATTTTGTTGGCTTAAATCAATGAAACAGAGGTGACATATACTATTTTATATTTTAAGACTGAGCTCAAAAAAGTACAAATGTTAAAATTACAATTTTATTTCCCTCACAGTCTTCCTCTAAAAGCAATGCTTTTAATCAAATCCATAGGGTACGGGCATGTGCTTAGAACTACTTTTCTAACAATGATAATACAAACTATTCTAAAGGCAAGAATAATTTCCTGGCTCTACAGCAAAAATATTTTTAGTTCAATAACTTTTTAATGAATGTGCCTGAACTTACTGAGAAATACTGTTCTGCTTCAAGCTGGTCTTGGAGCTCTTTCATTTGCCCATCTGCATCTTGACGTTCTCTGCGGTAACATTAAGTCAAATGTTAAATAAGTTAGACACATATTAAGCCAGTGACTCTTCAAATGTGTTCTGGAAGTCCCTGAGACCCTTTTAGACACGAAGTCATATAGTTTTTATAACACTATAAATTAGCTGAACTCCCTGAAGAACAACAGTGCACTCAACACATCACTTATACAACAAAAGGAGACAACATGGTCAAGAAAATGAAATGGTCCAAAAAGTCCTCAGATAAACCAAAATTAAGGCACTTTACATGTAGATACTTGTGCATATCAGTAAAATTTTGCCTCGATTAACTTACTTTCGAAGTTCAGCATTCTGTTTTTCCAAGTTCATTTTCATTTCCATGAGATGATTATTCTCTTGTTTTAACTGCTTTTCTGACATTTTTAGTGTGTTCACTTGCTGTGTCTGCATCTTCAAGTCATTTTGTGTGAGGCAGCGCTTTTGAGTTTCCTGCTCTATTTTTAATGTCAAGTTTCTAACCTAAAAAATAAATTGTGTACTTGGTATGTAAGTAAATTATTTTGATTTTTCTTATCAATGAAGTCTGCAGTATATATGATGATGCAAAACAGATTTTTTTGCTTTAGGAAGTGAATTCATTTCACAGTAAAATATTTTTGTATTTTTTATAATGTTTTAAAAAATAAAATATGGCTTTTACATTAAAAATAACTTTAGTTTCTAAAATTATGATTTGTTTAGTATATTATCCAAATTCAATAAAATTTAAAGGTTATAAAACATTATTTTATAAGGAACATTTTTTTCATTATGAAATCCTTGTTCCTTTACAAATAAACCTATGTACTACTACTGCAGTAAGTAATGTTACTCATTAGAAACACGCTTACGTCTTCGCTGAGCACATCCTTCTGTCTGAGGAGCTCATTGATCTTCTGCTGGGCCTGCTTGAGGTCGCAGTCGAAGAGAGAGCATTTCTTCTCCGCTTCCAGCAGCAGGTTCTCCACTTTCTGCTTTAGAGTCCTTTCCTCCAGGAGCTTCTTTTCCATCTCTGTTGCCACAAAATAAACGTGTGAACAAAAGGAGCCTGCCGAACACACGGTGAAGTGCTAAAAAATTACAGTGAATGACGCTCCTTAAAAGTATTTTTAAATCCCAAGTTTAATATTTTCATCACTCCTGTTAACGTATTTGAAATGCCAATAATTTCATGCTTAAAAATTAGGTATTTCATTGACAGGGTATAAAAATTTACCACACTCTGCAATATTATATGCGTTCTAATGGGAATAAAATAATTCTACCTTTATTTATGGTTCTAAAAGATACTTATATCTTTTAGCCCTGGCTGGGTGCCTCGGCTGGTTGGAGTGTCGTCCCATATGCCATAATGTTGCAGGGTTGATTCCCGGTCAGAGCATATACTTAGGAGGGCATATACTTAGTTTCTTTCAGGGTTCCATCCCCAGTTGGGGCACTCAATGTTTTTCTCTTGAGAACATGTTTCTTTCTCTCCCTCTCCCTCTCCCTCTCTAAAAAATATAAAAATCAATAAACATCCTCAGGTGAGGATTAAAAAAAGATACTTTTATCTTTTAAATAAAAATTACCCCCCTCCCCCCGTACTGTTCTGTGCCCCTCAGTGTTACTTGTCTTATCTTCAAACATTGAGGTAGATTCTATGACCTCTATGGCTCTCTCCATATTAGCATATTACCAGGCAGAGGATAAAAACTATTTTTTAGAGAGATGGTCAAGGACAGGGCTCTGGAACCAAACTCCTGGACCTGACACTTTCTAATTATTTGACTGGTCAAGCTAATGAACCTCTCTGAGGCTCAGTTTCCTTATGTTAGAATGGTGATAATACCTAACCTCATAGAGACATTATACAGAATTTTAGTTAATAAATATATAGCACTTAAATGCTGCCTGAAGTATGGCAAATACTCAATAAGTGCTCACTATTTAAAAAGAGTTTGTAATGACTTAAGGAAATGTTCATAATATTTTTTAAAAGAAGAAAGCAAGCCGGGACCGGTTTGGCTCAATGGATAGAGCGTCGGCGTGGGGATTGAAGGGTCCCGGGTTCGATTCCGGTCAAGGGCATGTGCCTTGGTTGCGGGCACATCCCCAGTGGGGGGTGTGCAAGAGGCAGCTGATCGATGACTCTCATCGATGTTTCTAACTCTCTATCTCTCTCCCTTCCTCTCTGTATAAAATCAATAAAAAATATATTTAAAAAAAAAAAAAAAAAAAAAGAAGGAAGCAAAACTAAACAGAATTGAGAGAATATAAAAGTGTAACATTGGTCACTAGGCCTACAATTAATGATTACTTTTTCATACTTCCCTATATTTTCTAAAGGACTCACCACAGCATTTGTTCCATTAACCAACTAGAGGCCCGGCGCACGGATTCAGGCACCAGAGGCCCCTCCGCGTGACCTGCGGGGACCGGGCTGAAACAGGCAGTCCACCCGCCGGCACTCCTGCCCATCCTGCCCTGCCGTGCCTGCCGCGGGCCTGCGCCCAGTCGGTCCAGGTCTGGAGAGGCTTGCGCTGCCACAGCCGCACTGCCAGCAATGAGCACGGTGTCTGGCGCCTGTGAGTCAGCTGAGCAGCGCTCCCGCTGTGGGAGTGCACTGACCACCCGGGGCCAGCTCCTGTGCTGAGCGTCTGCCCCCTGGGGGTCGGTGCACATCATGGTGACCAGTCAATTGGTTGCTTAGGCTTTTATACATACAGTAGGCAAAGTTTTTATTTAATGAAATGAATCCCTATTAAATATAAGTTATTATAGTTAAGTGATTAACTTTTAATATTCTGATTAGAAAATCTGTTCAAATCCAACTAGGTTCCTCCTCTTCTTCATATTAATGCTCAACATCTAATTATCATTTATTACAAAGTTATGCTAAGTAAAAATTAAACCTATGAATGTTCAGTTTTTTTGTTTTTTTTTAAATATATTTTATTGATTTTTACACAGAGAGGAATTGAGAGGGATAGACAGAAACGTCGATGAGAGAGATACATCAACAGCTGCCTCTTGCACACCCCCCACTGGGGATGTACCCGCAACCAAGGTATGTGCCCTTAACTGGAATCGAACCCGGGACCTTTCAGTCCGCAGGCCGACGCTCTATCCACTGAGCCAAACCGGTTTCGGCGAATGTTCAGTTTTTAATGATCTATCTTCAAAAGTGTGGAAAATGAAACTGTTCTTCACAGCTATTAACAGCTAGCATTTCTAAGCACTTTCCATGTATCACTGAACTTGGTTTTCACAACAACCTATTACTTTAATTACCTCTTTGTAGGAAACAGGGCACATAGATGTGTGTAAGCAGAAAAGATCACATAGCTAGTAATTCGTTGATGGAGAAGTCACATTCCTAATCAATGGAGGCAATGATGTGCAACGAGAAGACCCAAGGCTTAGACATAGGTCGGAGCACCACCTGCAACATTTAAGTTTTGTGTGCTCCTTCAAACACTGACGTCTTTGTGCATCTTACATTAGTGTTATAACAAGGAGTTTGAAAAAAGTGACAGTTATTATACTGAATTTCTTTTCAGCAGTTCAGAGAATAACCTACGAATGAATACACACATTTAAAAAAACCATCACCCCAATGCAGAGAAAATAGAAAAAGCATAAGTGATACGTGGATTTGTTGAGGTGATGAAAAGGTAGATTCGCTACCTTGTTTTGGGTGATAGTCACATGTGTACACTACAAATGTGAAAAATGCATTTTATTGCATCAAATTATACTCTCAAAGAAATCCCAATCTGACTTCTGAGTCGCAAACAGAAAAACAACCATTTCATCTTTTATCATCCAGAATTAGTGCCTTAAAGTAATATTAACCAAAAAAATCTCCTGTCACTCTCGATATCATGATAAGAGTAATTTCTTTTTGATCTAGTCATTTTGAGGGGCTTTTCTATCTTAGAAATAATTGCTGAGGGGAAGGTGGAGTTATGCATGTAAAACTTTCCTAATAGTGTTTCTTCTTCAGTATGTGGCAATAAAATATAAACAAATATTTTCAAAACCAAAGCATTGAATACAGAATCAACTCTTAGTAAGATGACACTAGAAAACCCTCTTAGAAAATGCATACCTTTCATGGCTTCTGATTTAGCTTCTTCAATTGATTCATAAATCTTATTTTTATCTGCCAGCCGTGCTTTTGTAGTTTTATGCTCAGCTTCTTCTTGTTCTAAGCTCTGCTGTATAACTTTTAGTTGATATGTCATATCTATCTCCATATTGTTCTTTTCCTATTGAAATGAAAATGGCAGCTATCAACAAATAGACTGTTGACCATTTCAAAAGCTTACAAAGGTTTTTTAAATAGTCTTACAAACAATGTCCAATATTTCCCCTTTTCTATTCATTAAAACTGCTTGTATAAGTAATCTACGTAACTCTACCAGTTCTCTTCCCAATATATCCACCTCCCACACCTCCACTCTCCTGTTCTGAGATCTGTATTGAGATAGTTTGATCTCCATAAAGTGACCAATGGTATTTTCAGTATCAAATTCACAGACGCTTTTTAGTCTTCACTTCACTTGAACTCACTGTTGCCCTTGAAATTATTCCCTTGACCTACCTGACACTGAATTCACTTGGTTCTCCCCATCCTGCTCTCATCTTTTCTGTTTCCTGTGAAGTTTACTCCCAAATTGCTGCTTAAACATTGGTGTTTTCTGGAGGCAGTGTTCTTTAGCCAATGCTTCTCCTCTTCCTATATTATTATATCTTAAACTTTTAAAACTTATCAAATGTTTCCTTTTGCTCTATCTTAAAAAACCCTCAGGATCCTCTACCATTCACACTTATCTTCAACATGTAGGAGACATGTTTTAAGTTGAGAATCTTTAATAAATAACAGAAATCAGTTTATTTTCTATATATCCTCAAAAGATTTCCTAATTCTGTTTTCTATAGTTTCTATCCTAAATATATATTTCTTCTGTGTTGTAAGTAAAATATTTAATGCTAAAATATATATCCCTAGTCTACACAACCAAGCCTAAATATAAGCATCCAAAAATAGGAGAAATAAATGGTTTCCCTTATTTTAGAATAAGTTTTCCAATCTGAAACTCTTACACAAATATAAAGTTTAATGTTTTACCTTTTCCAAATCAGTGAATCTTTCCTGAAGTTGTCTCTTCTCCATCTCAACTTTTGTTAATAAGATTTTGCCATTCTTTACATCTTCTTCTAGGCCAGATATTCTACCTAGTATTTGCAACATTTAAAAAAACAATAAATCCACAAAGTGTATATGTGTGTGTGTGTATATATATATGTAATAAGAGTTAAAAATTTGGATGTCACCTCAAACTCTCAAGTTGGTATTATGAGCAGAAGTTTTATAATTGCTGGTATAGCTGATATAGTTGAGATATGGCTTTATAGTTAATGTATCTGGAACCCAATCTACTACATTGGGAGGCAGCTTGATACTTAAAATACTTCAAACTATTTAAAAGTAAATCTTTTACTCACAAAACTTCATATTAATGTATTTCTAATACTCTAACTTTACACATTCAAAAATGTGCCTCTCCAGTACATTATCCATCATCTAAAGTTATTTCCAAAATATAAATCACTAAGATGAATTCAAATGCAATATCTACATTAATACCTTGTAAATCATTAATTATCTCTGATCCATGGGTTCGGTCCCTCCTTTCAGATTCTAGAACCGACTGAAGATTGATAAATTCCTTTTCGAGTTTTAACTTGGCAGTCTCCAACAGGCAATTCTTATCTTGTAGATCTCTGTTGTTAGATTCCAACTGCTGAATCTGTTTGGAACTTTCTGCCTGGCTTTTTCTTAACCGGGCTGCAGTGTCAGATTCTGTTCGCAGCAAAGCATTGGTTTCATCCAGCTGTTATTCCATTCAAATCAAACAACAAAAAACAAACAAACATAGGTGTATATGATGAAAATACCTCAATTCCTTACCCATTACAAAGTATTTAAATTAAACAAATACCTAAAAATATTTTCTAATGATTTCACTTTAAAATTAGAGGTAAAACCCTCTTGTTACACTGACAAAACTGTTAATGGGAAGTCATAAATAAAATTCAATATCCTTATTACAAACTGAGATCAACTTACTTGTCTCTGGAGCTGATTCACTTTCTCGGTGGATATTTGCGAGTTCTGATTTCTTTTTTTCAAATCTTCAAGTTGATCTTTTAAACTGTTAACTATGATAAAAAGCATTTCAGTGGCAAGAGTCAACACAACACACACATACACACACACTTAATTTTATTTTTCGTATTGAATATTCTATACCACAAACCATCATTTTCCAGATTTCGTTTCTTGTCTGCTTCATGATCAGCTTTCCGCTGATATTCCGCATTTTTGTGCTGAAGAAGCGCCTTTTCTCTTTCTAATTGTCTTAATGAAGATTCCACAGTTTTCCTTAAGGTAATCTGAAACAGGGCTTCAAGTTATTATCAGAAAAAAGCATGTATAAAAAGTTTAATAAAACAAAAACTATTTCAATTATTTCAAGCAAATAAGAAAACGTAAATAAAAGCTGAATGGCTATAGAATAAAACTACAATAATGTTTTCCATATTTTAAAAATAGCACACTACTCTTAACACTGTGTTTTGTTTATTATTGAAAGTCAAACTTTCGATAACATTCTGTCACCACTGAACCATTTTTACATGATAAAAGCATGGGTCAAAATGTTATGAATAAAAATTTAAAGAAAGAAACAATGCTCACTTTCTGTTTTTTTTAACCATGTCATTAATACAAATGCAATTTTTTTTTTTACTTTAAATATCTACACATACTAAATTAACTCAAGTTTTGCAAAAACACAACAAAATGAAGCTTATAACTATGATTATCCTATAATTTTACTCCTATCCACCCATGCTACAGGTAGATTTTATTATAAACAAAGATGTATATTAATATGGTACCAAGAGTACACTAGGAATCAAATCTTTTTATCAACAAAAATGTTAATAAAAGTGTACAGCAACTTTACCTCTTCTTCTAGCTCCTTTGCTACTTTCTCTAGGCGAGTATTAACAGATCTAAAGAATTTCAAAATAAACAGTAAATAAAATAACTCCTAATTTACAATAAAAGAATTTACTATAAATTAAAAATAATCGTATAATTATATTTTTAGTAATATGTTTAAACTTAAATTTTAGAATATACTATTCAATTATCTACAAAATATACCTGCACTTCTGCTCTATTTCCTCTTTTGCTTGTATCTCAGTGCTAAGGTGTTCTTCTAATGTGTATAGTTTTTTCTGAATCTGTTAGAAAAGAAAATAATTATAAAATTTGGTCACACTTCAAAGATGAGAGGCTTAAAGAAAACAATGATCAGCTTCTCTTTTCTTTTAACTTAATATGACCTCCTCTATAGTGGCACCATATTTATACCTTCTAAAGTGCCTACAAAAGATATATACGGTGCCTTCTAATATAGTGGCACCGTATTTATATCTTTTATTGACAGGGCAGTCCCCACCTCTTGCTTTCTGTCTAGAACAGTGTACGTATATGCACAACCACACTATATAAACTTGCGAATAAGAAGCTTCTGAGCCGAAACCGGTGTGGCTCAGTGGTGGAGCATCGGTCTGTGGACTGAGGGGTCCCGGGTTCGGTTCCGGTCAGGGGCATGTACATTAGTTGCGGGCACGTCCCCGGTGGGGGGTGTGCAGGAGGCAGCTGGTCGATGTTTCTCTCTCATTGACGTTTCTAGTCTCTGTCCCTCTCTCCTCCTCTCTGTGAAAAATCAATAAAATATATTAAAAAAAAAAAAAAAAAGCTTCTGAAACAAGTTTCTCATTCATGAGGAATAAAGGATAGCCTGCACTGTTTTTCTGCTGATTGTGTATGTAAAAATACTGTTACCATTTGTGCCTACAAAAGATATATACAAAACAAATATTCAGAAAATTTGAGCATGCTCAAATATACTAGTATTCTTAAAAATAAGAATATAAGCTCTTCTTTATATCTTTCTTTTCACACAGTGCTGCGCACCATACTGTAAAGAGTTGTAATCAATAACTTTACTGAGTAAATGACAATAATGACATCTTGTTTTTCTTTTTAAAAATAATATATATATATTTTTTATTTCAGAGGCAGGGAGGAGAGGTAGAAACATCAATGATGAAAAAGAATCACTGATCAACTGTCTCCTGCGCGCCCCCTAGTAGGAATTGAGCCCGAAAGCCAGGCCTGTGCCACGACCTGGAATGAACCGTGATCTCCTGGTTCACAGGTCAACAATCAACCACCAAGCCCCATGGGCCAGGCCATCTTGTCATTCTTTAAATCTGTCCAGGCCACCTCTGTCAGTCTGAGTCTGTAAGCAAACTAAAGTTACAGAAAGTATTAAATAATCCACTTTTGGAGCATTATTACCTTTATAAAGGTTTTAACTTTTGAGTTCTTTCATGTCTTAGGAACAGAGGTAGGCACTTGAAAAATGTGGTTTCATTAATCCTAACAAAAGCCCTAAAAAGATGGTAGTATTCTATCTACTCAATAAAGAAACTAAAATCCAAAAAGATGAATAACTGGGCCAGAACCACATAGCTAATAGAGGCAGTACAAAAACCTCCACCTAAGTCTCTGATAGTCCAAGGCCAATAGTCTTTCCACTATTTTTTCTAGTGATTAGGTTCTCCCCGGTTTTGAAAATATTGTATATACCTTACACAAAACTATTTTTCCCCCTAATAAGAATATATAGGCCAATGGACCAGTCAAATTTAATTATTATTGCTTTAATATAATTTGATCACACTAGTTGTCACAAGCTAATCAGAAGTTCTTGCTGCGAATTATATGTCTTTGATAAGTGAAATAATAAAAATATACATTTTAAATGAAAGATCCATAGGAGCAATAATAAAAGGGATACTTGGTAGAAAAAAGTGGAGAACGTCTGTCTTGGGAGATGCAGTGTTCCAACTGCTAAGTGAATAAGGCTATCTCAAACTCTGCTAGAGTAATGCGCCTGTTGTCTCAGTTTCGAGATATATGACATCAACATACCTCTTGGCTTTCCTATGTAAAACAAAGAAGAAAACACAGGAAATATTAAAATGCTTGTTTTGCTTTATAAAATTCCTAAAACACAAATTATACCAAAATTATTTAAACAAATTTTTTAGATTTTTAAGTTTTGAAGAAAAAAATGGTTAGCCTCAGAAAATACAGTAACAGTTTGATAAAATTATCCTTTATATGAATTTATTACTAAATACTCAAAATTTGAATCTCTCCACTATTTCTGTACTCTTATCATTTATTTTCTGTACTTTTATAGAACTAAGATTTTAAAATTTTGTAACTGGTATTACATAGCTGTTCATTAATCTACTGTCACTTTTGGTATTAAAACTAAGCCTATAGCCATGTATAATTCATCGTTTTACTAGCCATTGTTACACAATGACGTTTGTCAAAGGAATGAATTAGTTCAATGTTATGCTGAACTATATTGCAACAAGGAATGCCATCTAATGATTCAAAAAGTACCATCAAAGAAACTTTTAAACATGCAAGGACATTACTAAAATATTTGGACATGTGATTAAAATAGAGAAGTAAAAATTTATACATACTTCATTTTTCCTAGATTGTATTGAATCATTTTCTCTACAAGATGGAAAGTCACTTAATAACCTAGAAGAAAAGACAGGAAAATAAATTATTTTACATGCCATTTTAATCAATTTTCAAATACCAACTTCTTTTCAGAATTAAATTATAATCACAAAAATCTCTGTCTTTCCACTTCAATTTATTTGAAATGAAGCAACATTGTTCCCTCTGGATATTTAGACTGTTTCAATCATTTAAAATGATAAACTTTTCTTGCTTTTTATCAGATATTCTGTTATTTAACACTGTTGAGATTAGAGTCTCCAGATGAAACTATACTTTCTTCCTCTTCATCTCAAGTTCTGTAACTGTTTTATTCTTCTTTCCTAGACATTTTCTAGAAAGAGACATCTGTCCTCCTTTTCAAAGATAACATCTCTTGATCTCCAGGGCTTAACACATAAAATGATCACTTTTATCAATCTCTCCTTTATTGAGGCCTTCCTCACTGCCTATGAACATTTGTGGCATTCTCCTGGCACTGCTACCTTCATTTTAGTCAGCATTACGATAGTTTGAGGACACACTGGTAACAAGGTGACCAATTCTTCCTGGTTTGCCTGTTTTTATAAGTTTTGAAGAGAAAAATGTTTTAGGATGAAAGTCCCACGCTACTTTCTAGGAAACTACTTAGTCCTGGGCAAATCATGATGGCTGGCCACCCCATCATTATACGTGGAAGGACCTAAGAGTTTCTCCAATGTCTTTACTGCTTCACTCAATATTTAACCCTTCAGTGGCTCCCACTGCCTATAAAGTCAAAAGTCTCTTAGCACACAACAATCATCTATTGCATTATTCTTCCCCTACACTCCTACTTCGGTCTATTTTCTAATCTTAACTCCCCCAAATCACTTCAGCCAACCAACATGTTTGAATGACCTGTACCAGGCGGATTTGGGCAAGGAAACCACAGTTTTATCAAGTCCTCCAAATGGTCGTAAGCCAGTAATATACAGCCTATGTTTGAGCCCCACTGGGCTACATCACTCTGCTTTCAATGTATGCTCACATTCCAAACTTTAGCTTCCACTACTCATCACCCCACATGTCGGCCACTCACAAGACCCTTCATCTTTAAATTCGGCTGACATGCCACGTCTGCCTTGAGGTCTTGCCTAACTTCTCCCTACCTTCAACCTAAAGAAATATGACTTTTCTTTTCTCCCAAACCATCTCAGATTTTTTGGGTCCCTTTCTTAAAACAAATATCACATTCTACCCCCTTCATTATGAGCATATAATCTCTCATATCCCTCATTAGTCAAGACAAGCTTCAAAAGCAGGTATTTGGTCTTACCTGTAGCCCAAAATAACACAGAGCATCACCTTGCATTCAATCGTAAATGAATGTCATATAGCACTCAGAAATAAAATAAAACGAAATTAAAAATAACTCTTTCAATAGTCCTTTTAGAAAAACTCAAAGTTTAAAAAGAAGTTAATACTTTATTAAATAATCCAGCCCCAAAGCAATACAATGCTTTATAACTAGACTCTGAAACAATAAAAATATAACAAACCACATACAAATTTTCTCTGTAGTAGGTAAATCCTATAAAAGGCAGTTGATTTCCCACAAAAGCTTTAGGAATTGGGAAGGTTTCTACATCTCCTTTATCATCTTCAATATCATCAAAATTGCTGCTGTCTATGTCACTGCTGAGTTCAGGCACTACTGGAGCTGCCGCTATTAAAAGAAAGGAATTATTTCACTCACAATAAAAAAATAAACTACCCCTATTTTCTTTTACATTATGAACAATATATTAATACTAACATGGTATAAATTAATAATACATAATAACCTATTTTTATGATTTACTATACAAAATTTTAGTGACATTTTATCATTTCAAAGAATTAAAATTCTTAAGTATTTTATTACTACCTTAGAGCAGTTTTAAATAATGGTTAGTCAATTAAGCAAAAAAAGCAATATGATATTACTGTAGGCATTAAAATTGCAAATAGCAATAACTTGCATATACATTCTTTGGTTTTCAGTTTTCTATATTCTTTAAGTATTTCTTACTCTTCAAATTAAAAGTTTATATTTCCCCTTTCTGAAAATTATTGAGATCCATCAAATTTAACATGACACATAAAGAAACCTATGTTTTTATAAAAGTATTGGGAAATATTGCTAATAAATACATATTTATTATGTGCTTAGTTTGCTAAAACATTGCGGTAATATGAATTTAGTTATAATATTGCCACTGAACAAATATGAAATGGAACTCTCAATTTTAAAATTAGCGTTAAGTATATGAAACATGCTTGTCAATTCAAATTAGGAATCAATTTAAAATGTGGAATGGAAATATTTGAATGTATTGACTTACTCTCTCTGATGTTATCCCAATTCCATTGATCATTCTTAAAGAACGGATGTTGTTTAATTTCTTCTACCCCATTTCTCCCAAGCCGTACCTCCCTAGCAATGCAGTTAAAGATTGTGTAAAAAGTAAGGTTATGAAAAGACAAAACATTACCTTTTATCTAGACAAGAATCAACGTATGGATCACAAATTAGTTTGAGATATCTTTTTTAAAAGTATAACATAAATGTTTCTCAAGAAAAAGCAATCTCCATTTTATAATATATAATCTCTATAGACCAAGAAGACTGTAGTGCATATAGGAAATGCCATAAAAAGTGAAGTATATTTCAATCTGTAGTTTGTGCCAAACAAAAAATACACTAGACTTTCAAATGAAAAAACTCACATAGATGTCAAAATTGCATAACCAACTTTAAGACGCAAAATGGATGAAGATCTAACTTTTGGCCCAGAATAATTATCAAAACCTTTCCAATAAAAACATTACTTTAAAAATCTCTCCTCTTCTTAAAAAGAAATCATATTTTATATTTGAAGCTATCCATATTTACTCTGATAAATTATATCTCTGAATATAAAAAAAAGTTAATTTCATTCTTTGACACTTTGAGTCTTCAATTAAGATTGTATGAAAAATGAAAATAAAATAGACAAAATAAAAAGCATTTGTTTTTTTTATATGCCTTGGAGTTATGTTTAATTTAAGAGAAAAAAACCTGTCAACTTTAGAGGAAAGTACTCCTAGCCACACTAATGGCATTAAATTATTTTCAAGTATATTTTGTCTACCCAGAATCATTCTTTACTGCAACCTCCCTCCCAATGAACTGCTAGGATAAATCTTTCATGAATGACACTCATTTCAATAACAGATGCTATATCCTATTTTATATTTGATCTTCCAGCACAAATTATGATCATCCCATCAAGTCAACACGTGACACAGGTTTTGTTTTGAGTTTAACAGCATGGATTGTACATTAATCATATAATTAACAGATCTTAAAGTTTTATTCTACAAATGATTGGTAAACATGTAAAAATGATTAACCTCTTTAATGAGAAACAATAAAAATAACTTTTCTTGCTTCAGATGGAAAAAGGAAAAAATTCATAATATTCAGTTTGATGAGAATGAGGAACAATTATTGTTGAAAATATTCCCTGATGTGGCTTCTCTAGGTCAATTTTGCAACATCACTCAATTCCCAGAATTCCATCTTTAAGATTTTATCCTACAAAAAGTATGCAAAGATGATTGTATGAGGATAGTCACTATGGAATTTCTTGTAATAGCAACGAGCTAACAAACAGAAGGAATCATAGCATTTTAGAGCTACAAATGTCCTTTCTTTAATCTATTCTGATCCCATGATTTTATGGATGAATAAAATTATTTCCAAAAAGAGTAAAATAATTTCCCTAAGATCAGAAAGCTAGGAAGTCAAATTTGGGTGAGGGAGTTATCCTGTCAAAGGACCAACACATATAAGAATAACTTATATGTGTTGGTCCTTTGACAGGATAACTCACAAACCAGAGGAGAAACCAGAGGAGAAATAAAAGGAGAGGCCGAGGAAGAAACTCTTAATAACTTTCCAGTTGTTCTCTTTGAGGCAGGTTTTCAACATGTTCTTCTATTTTGTTTTAAAAAATATAGAATTACTGGGACAGACTTGTTTATATTCAAATGCAAATAAAAACCGGTTGGAAAGGAGGCACTCCCAGCTCAAACAGTTTTAAGATTATAACCTGCTTAGTATTTATCTGCACAAAATACTCCTTTCAAAAACTGTACAATCAAGGGTAACATGGCTCGAACCACCTTAGAGGAAATGTGAATATAACAAAAGTTTTATTTCTCTCAAATGCACTGTTTTACAAAGTTCTATTTTTTCTTTTTAAACATGAGGGTTGAGGTTAGAGTTAAATTACAATTGGGCTGCACATACAAAATGATAAGAGTAACCCAACATGAAGCTTAGCAGTAAAAAAAAAAAAAAAAAAAAAAAAAAGGCTAATCCAGAATTAAATGCATGTGGCTAAGAAGTGACTGATTTCATATGTAAATAAGTTTCATTTCTACAAGTTTAAAAGTAAAAGGAGCCATCTCTACAAGGACATTCCGTGTACGTTACCTCTCTGTTAGGAAGGCGCAGATGAGATTCTTTGCATGTTTAGAAATTTCTGCATCTTCAGGGAAACAGAGTGAGTTTTTATGATCCATAATTTTGCTATATGTTCCTACAAGTGAATCTGCATAAAATGGAGTATCTCCTAAAATTCCAAGAAATAAGATTTTGAGTATAATAGAGAATGCAAATTAAACACTTTTCATCTAATATTTAAGTATGTTAGGTTTAAATTTGACACATGCATGAAAAAATGAATGGTTATAAGACAAAAGTTTCAGACAAAACAAAAAGGTGCACACCAATATATTTAAATTTTAACCATAGCAATGAATCATCAACCCTTATGAGCAAAAAAAATTAAAAAAAAAAAATCAATGCTAAGTGTAACTAGAATTTTGTAGGAAGTTTAAATAATGGGCTAGGAAACAATTTACTAAGTAATTAGAGCAAAAGATTACTAAGTGAGGTCAGGTCAGAGTCCTGTCTAATGCTTAAGCTAGAGCATGCTCAGCTTTTTGAGATTATTCTCCAGAACTGTTATACTAGTCACACGCACCAATTTAAGTTAACTGCAACTAAACAAAACGCAAAATTCACTTCCCTAGATCACCAACCACATTTCAAGTTGCCAGTGCCTATCTCAGCAGATGCAGATATAAACCGTTTGCATCATGACAGACAAGACAGCCCAGCGCTAAGAATCAGACCACCTCTGTCTGTCTTGTCTGTCTGTCTGTCTATCTAGTATGTATGTATATATTTATTCATCCTCACCAGAAAATATTTTTCCCACTGCTTTGGAGAGGGGTAGGAGGAAGGAGAGAGGAATAAAGAGAGAAACATTGACATGAGAGAGACACTTTGACTTGTTGCCTCCTGCACACCCCCTGACTATGGAACAGGGAAGGAATCTGCAACCCAGGCATACACCCTTAACCAGAAATCAAACCTGAGACCCGTTAGTACTTGGGCTGGCACCCCAACCACTGAACCACACTGGCCAGGACCAGCCCTATTACTTTATACTAGAGGCTCGATGCACAAAATTCATGCAAGGGGTTTGGCCCTTGCAGCCATGGAGGCTTGCCTCTGGCAACTGTGGAGGCCTCGGCCCTAGCAGTCCTGGCTTCATCCAGAAGGTTGTTCGGCTGTTCGGTCTAATTAGCATATTAAACTTTTATTATTATAGAAGATATAAGGAAACCAAGCCCAGAAAGATGACAGGTGATTTGCCTACAATGGCACAAATCTAGAGTTGAAAATGGCAAAAATGGTCTCCAAGGGCAGTGTTCCTGCTAACTAAAGACAACGATAGAGAGACATTCAAACAAGTGTAAAGACGGGAAATGCTGAAAAGTAGTATCGTTTTGGCCAGTGCTCATTTAAACCACAGGGTTAAATACCCTGCTGGATACTCCAACTACAAGCCACTTTAGTGTAAGACAGACCTTCCTGAAGCAGCCATCCAAAACTTCAAAAGGGTCTTCAGGTAAGTAGTTTTTATTTGTTTTCAAATGTGCATTGCAATTTATTCTAGTGACATTTAAAAAATGTCTTTATTGATTTTTTAAGCGAGAGGAAGGGACAGGGATAGAGAGAAACATTGATAAAAGAGGGACATCAAGGACTGGCTGCCTCCAGCACACCCCTGTCTAAGGATCAAGCCCATCACCCAGGCATATGCCTTGACGGGGAATCGAACCGTGACCTCTCGGTTCATAGGTAGATGCTCAACCACTGAGCCACACCAGCTGGGCATCTAGTGCCATTTTTAATTGCAACAATCCTTTAAATGAACTCAAGTGCCAACCAACCTGAGCAAGCACCAGGGCAAGCTCAGAATACTGCAAATCAATGTCATTCAAACTCATTCAATTCAGCTTTCAGAGTTGAAAACATTAGCAGAAATTTAAATCTCTTCAAATAAATTATGCGACTTCCTACAAAATACATTATTTTCTAAATCATTTGGAGAATCTACACAAATAATAGAATATATTCTACTTTCAAATGTTTATAAGGCACACCTAATGCATTATCAGATCGGGCCAGAGGTGGGGAGAAAACAGAGGTTTGCCTGAAAACATATGATGACCACAGAGACTCACTACAAAGACAAAGGTCTAACAAAGTAGGTCATGCTATGCTGTAATATTAAGCATATATTAGGACTAGTCATAATTAATGTCGTTTTCTAATACTTTTTTAAATCAAATTTATTTAAACAATACAACAAAATTTAATCAACAATATAGTTGCCGTTGTTTTCTACTACTTGTGCCCAACGCTCAGGAAGCATTTTAATCCCTCTGTTGTAAAATTCTTGTGATTTTGATGCAAAAAATTCGGTCAATGCATTTTTGAGGCATTCTTCATTATTAAATTTTTTTCCAAGAAGAAAGTTTTGCAAAGAACAAAACAAATGGTAATCGGAAGGGGCAATATCAGGAGAATATGCAGGTTGAGGGAGAACTTCCCATTCCAACTGGCGCAGTTTTTCAGCAGTGATTCTTGCAGTATGCGGTCGTGCGTTATCGTGGTGAAGAATTACGCCCTTCTGATTAATCAGCGCGGGTTCTTTTTCTCTTAAAGCTTAGGCTAACCTTTCCAATTGGGCACTATACACTGCACTTGGAATGGTTTGGTTAGATGGTAAAAGTTCATAATGAAGAATTCCTTTAAAATTCCACCACACAACATCACTTTTTTCACATGCAAGTCAGGTTTTGGTGTGGGCTGCGGAGCCTCATTTTTGTCCAACCATTGAGGCCGCCTTTTCAAATTAACATACAGCACCCATTTTTCATCTCCGGTAACAATTTGCTCTAAAAACGGCAAACGGTTTTGCCGAGAGAGGAGCGAACTGCAAATTGTGACTCTTTGATTACGGTTGTTGTCGGTCAACTCATGAGGAACCCATTTTCCAAACTTTTGGACTTTGCCAAGTGCACGCAATTGATTGGAAATTGTTTTTTGTGAACAATTTAAAGTTGTCGCAAGCTCTTGTTGGGTAATTTGAGGATTTTGCACCAAAAGAGCTTGAAGAGCTTCTTGATCAAAATTGGACACACGGCCTCGACCACTCTTGTCATCTAACGAAAAATTTCCCTCGCGAAATTTCTCAAACCAATGCTGGCATTTTCTGGCGCTAACTGCCTCTTGACCAAGAGCACTACAGATGTTTTTTGCAGCCTCACTTGCTTTTCTTCCTAATTGGAACTCGTAAAGCATGCAGTGCCGAATATGCTCTTCATCCGCCATCTTCTTAGCCCTAGTTTTGCAACAAAAACCAAACCAAACACAAACTTTTTCAAGCAAAACTAGTTAATTGCACTTCACATGTTCTGTAGATACCACGTGTTTGAAGGTTATGTCAATACAAGTCAACGCCAAGCAAGATTTTAAACGAATGTTTAAAAACGACATTAATTATTACTAGACCCGATACAAGGCCAATGCTGCATACACTGGATGGTCTTCAAAAGCACTTTACAAAAGGTCTACTTGAGGAGTATTCCTAGCAACGTACTTTCCTTTCCTTTCTTATTCTACTCAACTTGGCAGTATAAGGTTTGGTTTTAATTCTCCAATTAATAATCTGTCCTATCAGTCATTACTAATTCAAAGTTTTCATAAATTCTACTTCTTCCCTAGGACACATGCAATTAATTTCCTTATAGTCCCAAATTTATGAACTAGAACTGAAGTGTTATAAGATGGGTTTTGAAGAAGAATGTTAAATATTTACTTACCCACCAGCATCTCAAAAAGGAAAACACCCACTGACCACCAATCACATTCTCGCCCATAGTAGCCATCACCCCCTTGTGATTTCAGAACCTCAGGTGATATATAATCAGGTGTCCCAACTGCAGTATCACAATGCACCATGCCTGTCTGGGGAAATGGCAGAGAGAAAGAGAAAAAGATGTGTGTAAAAACACATACATAAATGCAACGAATTCATTTATTATTCATATAAGTGATATAAACTGCTACCAACAGAACTTCACTGCTGACATAGCTTTGGCAGGAGAGAGGACAAATGCATTAAGTCATACACAGTAAGCAAAACTAAATTCATATTTGTTTAAAACTATAAAATTAAAAATTGAAGTGTTTATTTTTGTTTCTAAAAAACAATAACCCAGCATTTTTCACTTGCTTATAACTTACTTCATCCATCTTCATACATGTGCCAAAATCTGCTAACTTTAGATGCCCATGTTTATCCAGAAGCATGTTGTCAGGCTTTACATCTCTATGAATCAAGCCCATGGAGTGGATGGCATCCAGAGCGAGCACCACCTCAGCAGTGTAAAACTTGGCCCATTTCTCAGGTACATCATAGTTACTCATAAGGTTCACCAGGTCTCCACCAGGCATGTACTCCATTACCATGTACAGGTATTTATCATCTTGAAAGGCACAAAAGAGCTGAAAAATAAAATGGGAAGGAAAAGAATTTTTCAGAAGAAAACTCAAACCATGAACAGAACAAAACCCCCAAACCGTTTTTACAATTGGAAAAAGATAAATTACTTTATATCCAAAACCAACTTGAGTTTTATGAAATGTTTGATTTTAGATTTGGACATCTTTAAAGGAAAATAGTTAGCAGATAAAACTTTGATATGAATATCTTCTTCATACTTACTAACAAAATATGTATAAATATATCATTTTTCCCTCTTGGAGAATATAGGGATCTATTTAAATAGGAATATTTAAAAGAGAAAAAGAGTAAGACAAAAACCAAATGATGGCACGAGCTCACACAGAGGGAGCTGAGGCGGCGGACGGGTTAGGAAAACCTGAAGGTTCCAGGTTCATGGCCACAGAGGGAGGGAGCCCATCACGGGCAGGGGAGCACTGTAGCCACATAGGGAACAGGTCCCTCTCCTCCTCCTTGCTCAGAACAAGCAGCAAGCGGCCGTGCTACCTGCATCCACACTGAAATAGTGATGTTGGGACCAGAGAAATAATATACCAAGCTAGGTTGCTACTGACTCCCAAGGAGACAGAGAAATCACAAATTCAGAAGGAAAGCTATCCATATTCCATCCTAAAACATGTCCCACTCCACCCAGAAGCAAGCAATTGCAAACAGAAAAGGTTTCTACAAAGAGAACAAAACCAAGAGATCAACATTTTAGAAAAACCAATACCATGACATACAGATAATTCAAGAAACAAAAATTGTCCATATTTGCATGAATCTATATTGGGGTTTTCTATTTCATGTAAATGTTGTTGTTGTTTTTAATTCTTGCCACCAAGTACCACAGTGTTCTTATTAGTTCTGTTTAACTTGCTTGATATTAATTGAGGTTCTTAGATCTATAAGTTTATAGATTTCATCAAATTTGGAAAATTTTTGGCCATTTCTTCAAGTATTTTTCTCTCTCTCAGCTCCTGCCCCAGCCCCTTGCTCAGATTGAATTTACACATATATAATCTGTTTGGTGTTGTCCTATGGGTAACTGATATTCTCTCTGGGTTTTCTTTTAGTCATTTTTTTTTAACCCTGATATGCCTCATCTTGCTGTTTTTATGCTGTCTAGATAAATGAAATAAAAGACTTGTATACAAATGTTCACTGTTTATAACAGCCCCAAAGTTGAAACAACTCAAATGTCGATCCATCAGTAACTGGACAAATAAAACTGAGTGTTAGGCATATACTGAGTTACCATCCAATGAGGTCTACTGCAATACAATCCTGATGCTAAACCCCTAGAGTTAGCATCAGATCCCCAAGAGCTCAGTTCTCTACAAGACTCACTTCAAACATCAGTCATACTTCCAGAGTCCCCAGGCCTGCGTTTCTGACTAAAGGACTAACAATTCAGGAATTTCATGACCCCCTAAGGTTCAATAATTCACCAGGATGACTCACAGAACTCGGGGAAGCACTATACTTATGGTTACAGTTTATTATAACGATGCACATAGGGTGAAGTCTGGCAGACGGCACACAGCTTCTGTGCCTTTTCCTTGTGGAATCAGGGTGCATCATACCCTGCACATCAATGTGTTAACCAATCAGGGAGCTCCACTGAGGGCCAATGCCCAGATTTTTAATTAGGGTCTCGTTAGCTAGGCCTCATTAAATAAATCATTGTCCATGTGATTAACTCCCTGGAGGCTGAGCAGCTGGTGCTTTCTGGTGACCAATCCTGGTCTCACAGTTATCAAAAGGCTGCCAGGAGCTGCCTCATTAACATAACAAAGACACTCCCATAACTCTGGAAATTCCAGCAGTTTTAAAGTTGTGTGTTAGGAACTGGGTCAAAGAGAATATATCCTTTACTCTTCCACACCATACAAAGGAATATTACTTAGCACTGAAAAGAAATGAAGTACAATACATACTACAATATGCATGGACTTCAAAACAGTATGCAAAGGGAACAGACCAGATCCAAAAGACAACTACTGTATGATTCCATTTACCTGAAATGGCAGAAAAGGCAAATCTACAGAGACAGTAAGCACATTAGTGGTTGCCTGGGGCTGGGAGGAAAGTGGGAAATAACTCTAAATGGGTACAAGTTATCATTTGGAGATAGTAAAAATGTTTTAAAATCAGATTTCAGTGATGGGTGTACAACTGTAAATTTCCTAATAAAACATCACTGAATTAAACGAGTTGATCTGCAAATAACTTAATAATGCAGCTTATTCACAAGGGACAAAAATTGGAAACAACTCAAATGTCCTTAAACAGATGAATAGATAAACAAATGATCATATATCATGTAATGGAATACTATTTAGCATTAAAAAGGAATAAATTATTGATATACTGCATCATGGATAAATCTCAATAACAATTTTGCTAACTGAAGAAGCCAGGTAGGATGGGGTTAAAGTTAGAATGAACACTGTAGCAGAAAAGATAAGTGAACTTAAAGACACAGCACAAAAAACTAAAACAAAATGAGGCACACCAGAACAACAACAACAAATAGAGACTATCAGGACAACACCAAGCAGATGATATACGTGTAACCAGGTCTGAGAAAGAGGCTGTGAGCTATAAGATAGGAGCTGAGACAGGGGAAAAAAAACAAAAAAAAAACTTGAAGAAATAATGGCCAAACTTTTTCCAAATTTTATGAAATCTCTAAACCCACAGGTCTAAAATGCTCAATCAATATCAAGCAATCTAAACAGAAAGAATTAAAATGCTGTAGTACTTGGTGGCAAGAATAGACAAATAACTAAATGGAACAGAAAACCCAATACAGACCCATGCACACATGGACAATTGTGTTTCAAAAGAGGCAAACTATACCAATAGGAAAGGCAAGCTGTTGTTTTTCAATGTAAAGGAGATGTAGGATATTTAGCACACAAAATCAATAATTAAGAATGATAAGCACTTATAAAAGAAGGAAATAAATTTATAAAAGTTAGTATGCTTACCTGAACCACCCAGGGACTATTGGCAAAGGCCATAATATCTCTTTCTTCCCAGAAAAAAGCAGAATCTGATCTTTTTATCATTTCAAACTTACTAAGAAGCTTCATAGCATAAACTTTCTGTGATGCTTTATGACGAACCTATTGATTTTTAAAACACAAACATTATTAATATTTTAATTTTACGAGAAAGATGAACAAATCATTAAAATGCTATTATTAAGAGACTTTCGTTACAAAACAAAATGATCCTTAGCTAACTACTAAAAAGTAAAAACATAACTTTTTTTGTTACTCCTCACCTGAAGGTATCCCCATTGATTTCTAGAGAGTAGGGGGAGAGAGGGAGAGAGACAGAGACATCGGTGTGAGAGATATGTGTGCCCTTCTTCACTCAGCTGCAATGTAAACCCCTCAGATGGGTGATAACTATCCAAAGCAGGAATCCCCGCTCCCTACCCTAGAACTCCACGTTTCCTTCCTAGCAGACACCATACTTATTCATTTTGATGTTGTTTCCTTGTATTTATTGTCTGTCTCCCATATTAGAATGTAAGCTCAATGAAGGTCAAGATGATTCATGCCTGTTTTATTCTCCATTGTACGCTTAATGCCAAGTGCAATGTCATCACTAGCAATTATAACAGAATAGACACTAAATATTTAATGAATAAAGTAATGTCTGTGAAAATAATTATATTATATTGCTGGTCAAACTATAAATTTCCAGTTATAAGAAAATAATCAACAAGAAATATTTCCAGAAAGTACCAAAGATTTACCAGAGAGTGACTGTATGGGTTAATAACAGAATAGAGACATTCACTAAATATTTGATGAATAAATAAATGTCTGGGGAAAATTTTTTGTGTTTGATAATTGGCCAACTATAAATAATTTCAGTTCTAAGAAAATAACAGGTAATATTTCTAGTTATTTTTCATTAAGTACTATCCACATATAGAATCAATATTTTTATTATATTGATTAAAATAAGATCAACCAAAGGAATGCTCACGTCCTCTCTAGCAAAGACATGATACTTTATAGATCTGGTACTTTAAAAATGCAACTTTAAAATAAAACTTTAGAAAATCATATGCTGCTATACCTCTTTAGTAAAGAGAACCCCTCAGCCCTCGTAAGAAACGTTAGTGGTTGAATGGACCTGCACATATCACTGACAAGAGAGACAGGTTTTAGCATGAAACAATAAATACAAATAAGTTTTCACTCAGAACCACATACTTCTGGCCAGGGCAGAGTAACCAGTACCTGCCAGCTTTCCCACTGTAAACCACCATCCATATGGCAAAACATGTGAACCAACTGCTTTCAGACTTTGTCAAATAGGCAGCACAAGACTATAATTCCTGAGAGAAGAGAAATTCACCAAGTCAACACCAATTACCCAAACACTATCTTAACCAGCATTCAAGTGATCACCTAAGACAGTGGTCGGCAAATTCATTAGTCCAAGGAGCCAAATATCAACAGTGTAATGATTGACATTTCTTCGGAGAGCCAAATTTTTTAAACTTAAACTTCTTCTAACACCACTTCTTCAAAATAGACTTGCCCAGGCCGTAGTATTTTGTAAACCCCTCAGATGGGTGACAACTCAAGGGGCCAAAGAGCCGCATGTGGCTCATGAGCCGCAGTTTGTTGACCACAGACGGCTAAGCTAAGCACAGTCGTCCTGCTGAGTTGAAGAAGCAGAGATCAGAGTTCAAGACAGGTGAGGCACATGGGTTATGCTAGCAGGTAAACAGGGAAGTGAAGAGTTATGGAGAGGGAGGTCCCTCGGAATACCATGTGAGTCCTTGGCTAAGGGCGGAACTATCCAAAGAGAAGTACCAAAGTCTCTGTTCTGCTATGGGGCTGATAGCAGAACAGAGACACTACAGTTGAAATAGCATTGGAGGGACGTTTGATTTCCAAGTACAAAGAGTGGAAATTGTGAATTTCCACTTGCCAATTTCCGGGACAGCCAGGTAAGACTAGGAGAAAGAGCCATGCTCTAAGCCGAGGCCTACTCTAGAACTCCCTAACAAAGCGTAATAACACCATGCCCAAAGAACAAAAGGGGATTAGAGTTGAGAGGTTAACTCATGCCAATGAAAGTAATTTGGGGAACAACTTGGTCTTTTCACGCATCTACATTTATAAAGTATAAAACTACACCTGCACAAGGTAAGGGTGATCAGCAACTGGACAGTTTGTTAGGATAAAAATAAACATCAAAGAAAAAAAATCCAGAGTCTCCATCACATATCGACAAGGACCAGTATATAAGTTTAAAAATTACTTGATAGTCAAAGAGGAAAATATGATTCATCCTCAAAAAAAAAGAAAAGAAAGAAAGAAAGAAAGAAAGAAAGAAAGAAAGAAAGAGCAGTTAATAGAAAAGCCCAATAGATGTTAAACTTAGCTAGCAAATACTTAAAAATTTAAAAACAGCCTTGAATGAACAAAAGGAAATATCCACAGAGAAATGAAAACTACAAAAAAGAACCAGCTGGAAATTCTATAACTGAAAAAAAACTGAAGTGGAAAATTCATTGGAAGAGAATGGAAATGGAAGGAGTCAGTAAACACAAATAGATCTGAAGAATAAAGAGTAAGATGAATATCTGTAAATAAACAAAGATTTGGGGGCTTGCAAGACCATTTTTAACCACCTAAAATGTGTCAATACAGACTAAACACTCCAATTCATAGGCAAAAATTAAAAGAATTAATTAAAAAGCAAAACCTAACCTTATATATTTTAAATATAAGACCAAATAGATTAAAAATGAAAGGATGCAAAAAAATCAATCATGCCAACAGTAAGGTAAGAAAGTGAATAGAGCCCTAGCTGGTGTGGCTCAATGGATAGAGTGTTGTCCTGCAGACTGAAGAGTTCAATTCCAGTTAAGCGCACATGTCTGGGTTGCAGGCTTGATCCCGAATAGGGGGTGTGCATGGGGCAGCAGATCAATGATTCTCTCCCTTGCCGAAACCGGTTTGGCTCAGTGGTAGAGTGTCGGTCTTCGGACTGAAAGGTCCCGGGTTCGATTCCGGTCAAGGGCATGTGCCTTGGTTGCGGGCACATCCCCGGTAGGGGGTGTGCAAGAGGCAACTGGTCGATGTTTCTCTCTCATCGACGTTTCTAGCTCTCTATCTCTCTCCTTTCCTCTCTGTAAAAAATCAATAAAATATAAAAATAAAAAAAATAAAAAATAAATAAAATAAATGATTCTCTCCCTCTCCCTGCCTCTCTGAAATCACTAAAAAATCCTATATAATGAAAACCTAATATACTAAGTGTCCAGTCATCTGTTCAACCAACCAAAGAGTAATATGCTAATGATATGCTAAGGCCTCTGAATTGCTTGCTATGACATGCACGGACCACCGGGGAGACACTATGACTGGTGGGTCAGCTTGCTACTGGGGTCTGGCAGATGGGGCTGAGAGAGGAGCTGGCCGCTCCCCGCATCCCTCCCTGACATGGCAATTGTGCACCGGTGGGGTCCCTCGGCCTGGCCTGCACCCCCTCGCAACCCAGGACCCCTCGGAGGATGTCAGAGAGCTCATTTCAGGCCGATCCCACTCAATCCAAGAGCTGCCCCCTGGTGGTCAGTGCGCTCCCCCAGGGGTAGTGAAGCTCAGTCAGAAGCCAGGCTCACAGCTGGCAACTGCAGCGATGGTGGCGGGAGCCTCTCCAGCCTCCACAGCAGAGCTAAGGGCGTCGGCCTGCAGGCTTAGGCCAGCTCTCTGGATTGCAAAAGGGCACAGGCGAGGCTGAGACCCCCTCCCAAGTGCTTCGCTCTGGCCGCAGGAAGCCCTATTCTTGCAGGAATCTTCCTGCAACAGGCCTCTAGAGAGTGTGTGTGTGTGTGTGTGTGTGTGTGTGTGTGTGTGTGTATTAGAGGCCTGGTGCATGAATTTGTGCATGGGTGGGTCCAGCCAGCGTGGCCAGGGGGAGGGGACATGGGCAGTTGGCCGTTCTGCCTGCTGGTAGAACTCCTGGTTGAGGGGACAATTGGCATATTAGTCTTTTATTCTACAGGATATACACTGAGTGGCCAGATTTTATGTGTTCAGAGATCATAATAATCTGGCCACTCAGTGTATATATATAAAAAAGAAAGTGGACAAAGCAATATTAATAACTCACAAAGTAGACTTCAAAACAGAAAGAATAAAAGGGCAATTCAGAGAAAAGGAGTATAACGTATTAGGAAGACAAAAATTCTAAAAATGTATGCATCTAATAAATGTATTAATAAAATAATAAGAGTACAGAACCCTAGAACCTGTCCCTGGGGATCTCTGTCCAAGGTACCATTCATGCTTTCATCAGCCTCATTGGACTACAGCTATTAAATTAGTATAAACATATGCTTATTAACATTTCTCCTTATCATCCTCAAGTCTATCAGACTTTTTCAAATCTATTACAGATAGATATTACACCTTTACACTATGACCTATAAATTCAATAAATATATCAAAGAAAGAGGTAATAAAAGGGAAGAAGAAGACAAACAGTCTGTCATGGCTTGTTCCTAGAGAAACCTGGGCTGGTACATAGTAATCACAGCTTTTTTCAGTGCTCAGTCAACAAGAATAAAACACTACTGAGTGAAATACAAATAATTAAACTGTAAGGACACAGGAGTTTCATGCACAGGTAACGGAAACAGGAATATTATTATAATTCCTCATTTAATACTATAAATAAAATATTTATTACAAACATTTACAATATTCCTAGTTGGTACCACTTTGCCTTGTAAAGATAAATTTCAGTTATTAAAGGGTCTTTGCTGGGCTTCTCATATATCTGAATAAACCTTAGTTAATTAAGCAAGATGCTATTAATCTGAACATACTAAATAAAACACAGGAATATTCAGAAGGAGATCCTGTGTGAAGCCTTCTTCTAGATCTCATTGTTTCAGAGCTCTAAGAGACCCAGTGTTTATAGCAGCCCTAGAGGCCCAGTGCAGGAATTTGTTCGTGTGTGGGTGAGGTCCCTTGGGTTGACCTGCGGGAATCAGGACCCAGCTCGCAACCCAGCTCGCGCCCCCAGCCTCACAGCCACACCATGGCCTGGTGCTGCTCACCTGCTCCACCATCCCACCTGTGGGACCATCGGTCAGGGCTGGGCCTCCCACCCAGCTCCTTCAGTGCCTGGGAGCCAGGCAGTGACCCCACCTCCCACTGCTGCTTGCTGTCTGTGGGGCAATGGATGGGGCAATCAGGCCCCTGCTCACACCTGCCTTGGCCTGGCACCCTCCACCATTCTGCCATGGTCCTGCTATCATCAGGGCCCATCGGGGCTGGCAGCACCTCCATTGCTGCCCGCTGTCAGCTCCACATCATCGCAGCCGCCCTCTGGTGGTCAGGACATGTCATAGCAAAAGCAGTTGAACTCTCGGTCAAACAATTTGCATATTAAGCTTTTATTATATAGGAGAATTCTCTCCTTTTATGGGTGAGCACACTGAGGCTCTCAGAGATGGAATGATTTGACTAACCTCAGAAAGCTAACTCTGGCCTGGCTGGGCAAAGAAATTGGATCTACTCCAGGGCTACTGATAATGCTTCACAAACTGTCATCAAAATAATAAGAACAATACAAATATTTTCTTACCAACTGGACTTCGCCAAAAGCACCTCTTCCAATAACTTTTACAACCTCGTAGTCTTCTGCCTTCATCTGCAAACCTCTGATTTTTTTCACAATTTTCTCATCTACAATAAAAAGGTCACCATATTTGTAATATTAATCATCATTTATAAACAATATTTTAAAATAATCAGCATATTTGTAAAATTTTTATTCCAAGAAATCTGGCTTAGCTTTCATCTACATCTGTCAGTTTTTAAAGGTTGCTATTTAAAAATCTAAGATATAGTACATTAACTTCACATCAAAGAATCAAAACACTGTGGTTTATTAACATATATAAACAAACACTACTACTACCAAAAAGTGGCAGCTAAGCTATTCTGTTTCTGACTGTTGCTTGGCAAGTGAGATGACAGCTGAAACAGTGGTGACCCCGGCGGTTCTGAGTGCATTCTAAGTCATGGAAGAAAGTTGCTATAAGATTACTTGCAGGGCTAATCTTAGTAATGAATTTTTGGAAGCCTACTTCTTTAGTAACCACATATTATAGATATGGTAACTATAGACAAGACTGTGTGTGGAATTAGGAAAACAGTACAGTCTCTGACAATTCCAAATTTAAAAGCTTATTGTGTTGATATAAAGTATGTATTAGTTATTTAAAAATTTCTTCTTCTTAGAATTCAACTTCATTTACACCTTCATGGCAATATCAATACCAACAAATATTAAAAGTTACCACATATATGGCAATAATTGTTATTACATTATCTTTCACTAACTAGATTGAAATGTCTATATTCATGCAAATATAAAGCTCATAAAGTCTTCCGGATAGTGTAAAGGTCTTAGTGTTGTTAATATTAATTTAAAACTTCCCTTGGAACTGCCAAAAATAACCTGTCATGAAACCACTAGTCTTAATAATTTATTCAAAATCTTGAACTCTACCTATATTTATGCTACAATTGGTTCTGCAGTTTTGCTTTGAAAATAAAGAATATTAATATTTAGCCCAGCCAGTGTGGTTCAGTGGCTGAACATCACTCTATGAACCAGGAGGTCACAGTTCGATTCTCGGTCAGGGCACAGGCCCAGCTTTCGGGCTCGATCCTCAGTGTGGGATGTGCAGGAGGCACATGATTCTCTCTCATCATTGATGTTTCTCTCTCTCTTCCTCTCTAAATCAATAAAAGTATATTAAATAAATAAAGGGGTAAGCTAAGAATTACTTGTTTAATAAGTTAATAAGTTTATGAATTTTAATAATATTAATCAAACATAGATTTCTCATCAAAGTATAATCATGGTATCAAATATGAAGTTTAACATACTTACATCTATTTAAGAAATTATCTATATTCTTGTTTTTCCTCAAAGCAGGAAAATCCAAATCAAGGACCAAGGAATTTAAGCCATCCTATTTAACAAAAAATTTAAAAAGGAAAAAGAAAATTGTTACAATTCCCAAGCATTTAAAAAAAAAGGTCTTTACATTTTATCATAATGTTATTCTCACTGAGTAAATGTCAACCCATTTTGATATGAAACTCCCAAGTGGATCAATATCTAACACCTTTAACTGATTTCCTAACTTTGTCAGACTATTAAGATTGACCCTATCATGTTTTCCTTCGTTCTTTTAGCCAACAGAATCAGTCATTTTAAAATAGGCACCCACTATTACTATTGTTGGTTAGATGTCTTCTTTTCTCTCTTCAAATGCCCAGTAAAATTTCACCAAGCTTTTGACTTTAAGAAATACACCCAGACTAAGGAAGTTGCCATTCACTCAACAATCATTAATTGTGTGCCTAGTGCAAAGAATAGAAAATTCAAAAATAAATAAGACACTAACTATCCTTACGTCCAGGAAACTCGGCCTCAAAACTAAATTTCCCATAAAAATATGAAAACAGGGTGATTCATTTTTCAGATTTCTATTTTCTTTTTTGAGTTTTTTATATTTTTCAGACTTTCTACAAGGATACATTAAATTGCCCGATCATCGTGGCTCGTGGTTGATTGTTGGCCTATTAAGCAGGAGGTCACAGTTTGATTCCCAGTCAAGGCACAGGCCCAGGTTGCATGCTCAATCCAAAGTGCGGGGCATGAGAGGCTCCGATCAATGATTCGGGGAAACAGGGTATTGATTAATACCTTAATCAATAAAGAAGTTTAAAAAAATAAAAATAAAGAAATAAAATAAAGAAATTTAAAAAATAAAAATAAACAAAGTAAGGCTTAGAATAAGTGACTCAGACTTGCCCAAGATCATGCTATTAGGAAAGGACTCACAGGATACTACCTAACTCTTAAAAAGGTCCAGTATACTTCAATCATCTCCCTAGTCTCCATGACCCGACTGACACCAATGGGAACTTGGAAGGGTAAAGAAGGAAGCTGGAGGATTGCAGGGGGGGGGAAACAGCAATAAAAAGACCTTTTAGGGATATAAGTAGGGAAAAACTCACATGCAAAACTTAGAAAGGTAACTTGGGTCTTTAATTTACTAATTTTAGAAGAATTGCATATATTATATATATTTTAATTGATTTCAGAGATGAAGAAAGAAGGAGAGAGATATATAGACAACAATGATGAGAGAGAATCATGGATAGGTTGCCTCCTGCAAGCCCCCTACTGGGGATGGAGCCCACAACCCTGGCATGTGCTCTTGACCGGAATCGAACCTGGGACCCTTCTGTCCGTAGGCTGACACTATCCACTGAGCCAATCCAGCTAGGAATGCACACAGTATATTTTACCATTCAGTTATACTTCATAAATTTTGATATTTTAAAAAGTTTAAAATGTAAAATCCAAAACACTTATGTTTTTAGACTAGAGGCCCAGTGCATGAAAATGCATGCACTGGAGGGGAGGGGATCCTTCAGCTCGCCTGCCCCCTCTCACAGGGACGGAAGGCAACCTGGTAATCAGGAGAAAGCGACACCCATCACACCTCTGCTGCTGCCACTGCTGGCAGCGCAAGCTTCGGCCAGCCCTGGTTACTTGAGCCTAGGCGGCCCTGGGCGGCTGCTATCAGAGGCTTGCCTGCATCTCAGACTGCCCCTAGGAGGCTGGGGGGCTGAGGCGACTAAGCACTGCCATCTTTGAGGGTGGGCAGTCAATTAATATATTCCCTCATTTTTGGCTGTGGGTGCCGCCATCTTTGCAACAGTGTGAGGATCAATTAGCATACTCCCTCTTTATTAGGTAGGAAGATATATCCATATTTATACTGAATTTAATTTTCAAATCAAAGAATGGTGCTTTCATGTGAAAAACATTCTTCTATGCCTCCATTAATCTCCAAAGGAAGAAAAATTTAAATAGATAAGACATAAGCTATTATTATAAGAATTAATATTAATAAAATTACATGACCTCAGTATTTTGATATTATAATATTGACATAGTTCACCGGCATCTTTTTATTAAGCTAAGCGTTTCAACATCAATATTCTAAGTTCATTGGTTGCAAGGTCTTTTTATATTGTGCTCCATCAAAGAGGCACTCCAGGGAAGACTGGATTATTTAAAAGGAAAATTTTGGAGCCAAAGAGGGGTTAAAAAAGAAAAAGAAAATTGGCTTTAACTGCAAAGTCTATTAGTAAGAAAGGATGATGCCAACATTTGCTTATTATCTCTTTGTGTGTGGGGAGGGAGGAAGCCCTTTGACAACAGAGCTGTTCCAGGTTTTTTTAAAATTTGAAAGTAAAATAAACAGATAAAGTTTTGTCTACTTGTGCTTTGTTTAGAGAAGGCAAAACAACTTGGTTACATTTCCACTCCATGACAAAAAAAGTCAGTCCTCCAAACCAGTTTCCAGTCAATTGTTCAAATAATTAAACCAACAGAACCTTCTCTTTCACTTTATAACTAGAAGTCTGCCCATATGATTTCCACCCACCAACAACCTAATTGTAGAAAATCATGTTCCCCAAGTTATGAAGTTAAGTTTCAGTTTTTTCTACAAAGAGTCCCTAAAATAAGATCAATCACTCAATAAATTTTGGTTATTATTTCCATTATTTTCAATATTATCTAAATGCAAACTTTGCATTTAAGGATTAAGTAATTAAAGAGATGTAGAGTTTAAAGGGGCTTTAAATTTAACTTGAACATCTAAATCTATCAGCACATCTTTGATACTAACAGATGAGGCCAAAAACCATTTCCTCATTAATTTAATGTGTTCCATAAAGAAAACTATTTTACTTCTTAAGTTTTTAGTCTCAATATCTTTACCACAGTGCTAGTCTGGCAACTAATCAAGTACTGTTTATGAAGCCAAATGAAATAAAAGTCTGAAAAGTACTATAATAGTTGCTACCTCCTTTTGTTATAAATGTACTTAGATTGTAACCAATTTTTAAAACTCTTTTCAATCTTACTTCAGTTTTATATAGCTTGAAATTTTATGCAATCTCTCCCAATTGAAACCTGGGAGAGATTGCATAAAACACATAAGCATTTCGAGGAACATTATTTACAATAGCAAAAATTCAAAACAACCTAAAAATCTTGAAAAATACAGTAAAATCTAAGTGGACAAGATCTAAAGTATTAAAGAACACACCTTAATAAATTAATACTTTAAAAATATTTCATGTAAAATTTACAGCTCTCTTTATCTCTACTGAAACAGCCTATTTTAAATTCCTATAAAGATCGCAATAAAGATTCAAGTTTTGGGCAAAAGCAACATTTATTTGAGAACTCTGGAGAAAGAAGGGGGAACATATGATTTGTAAGATGTAAAGAACAGTGATATCTTAATATTTAATATTATGGACACTCACTCCTGTGGTCCAACCTACATAATGTCAATTTTAAACATTCTACGCATTAATAATCACTTTCTTATCTTTGCAGCTCACTCTCATTAATACTTCAACTCCAACTATCACTTTTTTTATATATATTTTATTGATTTTTTTTTTTTTTTTTTTTTTTTTTTACAGAAAGGAAAGGAGAGGGATAGAGTTAGAAACATCAATCAGCTGCCTCCTGCACACCCCTACTGGGGATGTGCCTGCAACCAAAGTACATGCCCTTGACCGGAATTAAACCTGGGCTCTTTTAGTCCCCAAGCCGACACTCTATCTACTGAGCCAAACCGGTTTTGGCTCCAACAATCTCTTGACTCACCAAGAACTTTCAATCCAAACCTTATCATTTTCCAGTCTTTTACCATTCCCTCCTATGTTCTCTTTTTTTAAAAATATGTTTTTATTGATTTTAGAGAGGAAGGGAGAAGAATAGAGAGAAACATCCATTGGCTGCCTCCTGCACACTCGTTACTAGAGATGGAGCCTGCAACCTGGGCATGTGCCCTGACACATGGGCATGTGTCCTGACCAGAGAATGAACCAGTGACCTCTTGGTTCCTGGGTCGACTTTCAAACACTGAGCCACAGTCAACGTCTGGCTGGAAAGTAAACTGCCAGTCAAGTCCGGCCGCTTTACTCTTCATACACTTAGATTCCAGTTATCACAATAATCACTGCCCTGCACTTACTCTTTTGCTCTTCTCACTTAATCAAACTCTTCTGAAAAAGCACATCACTGGATAAATAACTCTTTCTATTTCTACTCAGTATTTGAACCTCCTAGAGCTAAATCTGACTTAAGAAAAGCACAGAACCATGTTCAAGTGACCCTTAGCTGGCTGCCAATCCTAGACTACTTACCTGGTCCATTTTTTCTCCCATTCTCCTCAAATATAAAAAATCTCCTCTCCTAATCTCATTCTCAGCTATAGTCCTGACTTCTTATCTCATTAAGAACGTGTACACATTCTCATCACCAAATCTAAATCCCTGCATCTGTATCCATATATTCTTTCTTTCTTCCTATTATATTTTAGTACTAGCCACAAGCAATCTCTCAATCTCTACACTGAACCTCTCCTCCCCTCTTGCCTATTAAAAGACAACACTACAGCAATTCTGTTCCCCTACCATAGCCATCCATCATCACCTCATCTCTTATTCTCTCTCTACATGATTACGGTCATTGGCATGTTATTTCTCTTACCCTTAAAAAAATAAAATCCTTTGATTCTACCTCCCATACAGCTATCAGATCATTTCTCCCTCCCCCTTCATAGGGAAAGTCCTTGGAAGAGATTATCTACACTGTTTTTAGCTTCTCCTCCTCCTGTCTCATTAGAACTGACTGCAATCAGTTTTCCCCCTTCCCCACCAACATATCCATAGCCAAACTATCTAAACTGTTCTTCTCAAGTCTACCAATGACTTACCTCCACATTACAAAACCAATTATTATTTCTTGGTCCACATTTTACTTGACCTATAAACATATTTGAACAATCAATCCTTCACTATCTACTTCTTGAAAATCTTTCTTCAGTTGACTTTGATGGCCATGCATTCACATGATTTGCCATCT